CCTGGGCCAGGGAGGTGTGGAGGCCTCAGGCAGGCCCTGGGTCTGTGGCTCACAAAGCCCCCCCACCCCACCTTCCTGTCCCCCTTGGGGCCTTATATGACAGAACCAGTCAGGGCCACAGAGAATGAGCCTTTGCACCCAAATTACAGATGGGGAAAGTGAGGCCCAGAAGGAAGGGGCCTGAAGACAGGCTTCCTGGTAGCATTTTAGTTTCGGGAACAACCGTCCAAGTTCCCTGGGGCACTGGTGAAGGAGGGAGTTAGTTTGACTGTTGTCTGTTGACTGGGATATGTGCAGGACAGATTGGGAACTGGAGTCCCAAGGAAGGCTAAGCTGGGACTGGAAGAGCTGCAGCTGGTGGGCCCAGGGGTCTCCTCACACTCCCTAGCCCCAGTCTACCCTACCCCATGCCGCTGGGTAACCTCAGGTCCGAAGAGGAAAGAGCTGGAGGTGGAGAAACAAGGCTGCGGGCCTGCCCTCTGGGGTGAGGGTGGGGAGTCCCTCTGGGTAAGGCCTTAGAAGGAAAGGATTATTTTTCCGGGGGGCGGGGCGTGGGGGAGGTAGCGGGGCTCAAAACAACTCGGGGGGTGGGGTAGGGGCGGGAAGCCGCTTCCACCATTCCAGCCCGTCCAGTGTGCCTCTGAGACCCCAGCGGGTCTCAGAGGTGCATCTCGGAGTGCGCAGCCGCAACGGGCTCTCTCGGTGGACCTTCACCTTCCCCAAGCGACCGAGGTGGGGCCGCTCAGGATCAGGGTGGGGCCAGTCCCCGCCTGCTCAGCCTCCTCATATTGGCTCCTGGCAGTGCCCAAATCGGCCCCGCAACCCTCGGGCACCAGTGTTCCCCACCTGCCTCAAGGCATCAGCCCCTGGACTGAGCGGGGTGGGCGTCCAACCGGGTCCCTGCATCTCAGAGGCGGGCCCTCCCGAACCCGAGCCGCCCACCAACTCTCGGGATGCGCAGCCGGGGTCTTCTGCCTCCGTGAGTCCAGCCGCGTACCCCTGCATGTGCCCCAGGTCGCGTGCCATCCTCACCCGCTTCCTGGGCCGTCCCCTGCACTTGCTGCTTCAAGTCCTGCAAGCCCTTGCTGGCCATGGCTGCGGGGGTTCTGCGAAGTCGTCTAGGGTAGCCGCAGCGATGTTAGATCCCGTTCACCTTGCGGCGACCGGAGCGCCAGCTCTGGTTTTTAAGGCGCCCCAGGGCCGGCCCGCCCCGCGCGGGGCGGGGAAGAGGGGGGCGCGGGGCGTTTCCCAGCAGACCGGCTCCGGGGACTGACCCGGCCCTGCTCCAGGTTCCACCATCCGGAGAGCACATCCTGGCCTCCGGCGGGCGGCGGTCAAAACGCGGCGGTCCCCACCAGGGTCTGACGAGGGGCGAGGGGCTGCAGAGGGCTTGGGTCGGGGTCCAGAGATGGGTTGGAGTAGAAGGGGGGCGCACAAACCTCCTCCCTCCCCGTCGGCCCGACCCTTCGTCTGTGACCCTGAGGATCCGGTGGGTGCTGGGTCAGCGCCAGGTCAGAATCTCAAGGCTGGAATTGACATTAATAATAGCAGTGGCCTTTTACTGAGCATTTACCTAGCGCCAGGCGCTGCCCTAAGGCTTTACAGCCTCTTGTATAATCTTTACAACAGCTTCATGAAATGGGTGTTATTAGCAGTTTATAGGAAGAAACTATGGCACAGAGGGCGCGTTAAGTCTCACCCAAACTCACATGGCAGGCAGGGACTCGAATCCAGGTCGGTGGGCTGTAAACCGTAAGGCCCCGACAACGGCCAAGGCGGCTGTCCCCACACACTTGGCCGGGACACTGCAGACTGGCCAGCTGCCCTGATGCTACTGGGACCAGGCAGGGGCAGAGGAGAGAGTCGAGTAAATCCCTCTCACAGAGGGCGAGTCACTGGCGAGCGCCTCTGGGGAGAAAGCAGCCCGAAGTGGAGGGGGACAACCGAAAGGGCCGCTGTGTGCCCCAGCCCAGGCAGGGAGAGCGCTTCCTTAGGTCACCAAACCCCTACGAATTGGGCAGGAGGCAAGGTTCAGAGAGGGCAGGGACGCTCCCCAGGCCACACAGCGAAGAAGGGAGTGGCCGAGCCTCAGACCACTGAGGTCACCTTTCCCCGGATGGGGCGCGCGCTGGATGTGGTGACCACCCAGGGGCGCTGGGAGAGGAGTTAGAGGCCCAGGCACCAGTCGGGGAGCCAGGAATCCCGAGGACACCAAATGACCCAAGAGGCATGACCCCCTGGCACCCAAGTGTGCTCACCAGGCCTCCACCCCGCCCCGCGTTCTTCCATTCCAGAGCCAGCCTGCGGAGCCTGGAGGCCACCGCCCCACTCCCTTGTGCGTCTTGGTGCAGCGGCTCGATCCTCTCTCTAGTGCTTACTCTCTGATTCTTCCCCCCGGGGCCAGTCTCTGCGCCTCTGTGGGAGTCTTCCCGATTCTGGAGCCCTGGGAAGACCCCGCCTACCCAGGTCCACTCTGCTGGCCCATGCCCTGCCTCTAATACGGGGGAGGAGGCGGGGGAGCAGAGTCTGGGGGGTAAACCGCGGAGCGTCAGCCATGGCCTGGGGTTAGCTGGAAGCGCGCGCACGCGCGCACAGCGAGAATGGATTAATGGAGATAACTCTGGGCAAGTAAACGGGACAGAAGCTGAGATCAGATGGGGGAGGAGACACTAAGCACCGAGGAACCAAGCGGCCGCCACGCCCGCTCCTCCTGGCCTGAAGCCCGGCCAAGCCCAGAGCACAAAGGCGCGGTTGAAGCCGCCTTCTTGCTGCCTCGGGGACTCCGGGGAGCCCAGCCGTGCCCACATCCTCTCGAATTCCCACCAGTAGCACCAGTCTCTTCGGCCAGGAGGGTGTGATCACCACAGCAGTTAGCTCATGGTTGGCTGTTAAGGCTGTTTGCTGCCTGTCCCAGTGGGCCAGAACAAGACAGGGAGGCAGCAGGCTCTGTGTGAGGCACAGTGGGGCCCAAAGCAGGTGATGACAGAGAGAGCTGAGTGGCTCTAAAGCAGGAGGCACTGCAGTCAGACCTCTTGGGTTCAAATACTCCCCAGGGCAAGTCCATCTCTCTGAGCCCCAGTGTCCCCATCCTTGATGGGCAGATGGGGGCGACAGAATCTCCAAGTGCTATTGTGAGGGTTAAATGGGCTGAAGGATGCCCCACACTCAACGGGGTCCCTTCAACGGGGGGCCATTCACCTGGGGCTTCTCAGGTGAGGAGAGGGACAGGAAGAGACCAATTGTTCCTCTAGGGAAGGTAGCCCCAGGAGCCCAGAGCACATAATAGAGGGTCTTTTTTTTTTTTTTTTTTTTTTTTTTAATGTAGGCTCCATGCCCATCAAGGAGCTCAACACAGGGCTTGAACTCACAACCCTGAGATCAAGACCTTAGCTGAGATCAAGAGCTGGCCACCTAGCCTAACCGACTGAGCCACCCAGGTGCCCCAGTAGGGGTTTTGAAGGCTAAGAGCAGTGCAGGTGCCATGGGGTGGGAACAGGCTTCCCAGACAGGGCAAACCTAGATGTTTGGCATTTGACCCCAAGAACAGGCCCTGAGTATGTGCCTAGGGTGGGAGTCAAGCAGCAGGGACCCTTCCAGGTTCCTTCAGCAGAGGCAGAGGGCTCTGGGAGTCTGGTGATGCACTGTCCACAGGGGCTGGGTCTAGGAGTCCTCCTCCCCCGTCACCTGTCTGTCTCTCACGGTCCAAAGAGCTCTCAGGCACACCCAGGCCCCAGGTGGACCCCTCCTGGGCATGCACAGGCCTGCTTGTGTGCCCGCATTTGGGCCCAGGAGCATTAACACCCCTGACTACCCTGAACCTCTTCCAGACCTTTCACTCCTCCTATGGCAGGATTTGGGGGCCTGGGGGCCCAGCAGCCTCCTGCTCCTTTCTGCCTCCTCGGCAGTGGATGCCCATGGGCAGCAGGCTGGAATACAACCCGGCTCAGCTGTGCTTGACTGGGTTCCCAGCCCCCAGGGCTGGCCTTGACCCCTGCTCCCACCACTGAGGAGGGATGGGAAAGTGGTGGTCTCGGCAGTGTCTGAATTCAGGGGCGGACTCAAGCTCTGGCTCTGACTCCCAGGGCTGGAGGCTTGGGGCAAGTCACGTAGATGCTGTGAGCCCAAACTGTCTGGGTGCCAAAGGGGAAGGAACCCCTCCACCACTTCTGAACAAGACCCCAGGGCATGATGCCAACAGCCTTCATGTAGGACATCTGCCAGCCTGGTCCCCAGGTTATTTTGAAATCCCGGGGCCGGGGGGGTGGGGGGGCTGGCTTCTGCCGTAAGCACCTCAGTCCACACAGTCGGCGGGGCTGTAGCAGAGCATGGGAGTTAACTGGGTGGCTCTGGAGCCAGGCGACCTTGGCTTCTGCCTAGTCCCCGCGGTTCCTTGCTCTGTGCCCTTGGGCAAGTTATTTAACCTCTCTGTTCTTCAGTTCAGTTTCGGGGAAACTGGGATCATACCAACAGTTTGTTCTGAGGATTAAATTACACAAAGCGCTCAGGCCTGGGAGGAGCTCATTTTTACTACTTTCAAGGTGGAGGCTCACTTTCTCGCATCTCAGCTGTCCTCTTTTCTAATGACACTTGACAGGACTTCTGGTGAAGGACAGGAAAGCCCAGCTCCCAGCTGGTGGGAACTTGAAGCCAGGTGGGGTCAGGCAGGAGGAGCTATGGGGTCATGTCCTTCTGCACTGAGGAGGACTCAAAGAGGTCTTGGGTCTAGACGTCACATCTTTGAAGGTTGCCATCTATCTGTTCCAGGGAGGGGTGTGAGGTTGTCTGGAGGAGCCGAAAGCCGGGCAGCTTTCTCCATGTTAAAAGACAACGGTGTGGGCTCCCTGAAGGCAGTGCCTACTCTCAGAAGGTTCCCGAAATGCCTAGGGTCTGCCCGAAGGGTACCTGGCCCCGGACCTGCTTCCCAGACCCACCAGCAAGCTGGCGCCGGATTCCTGTTCCTGGATGAGGCAGCACAGAGCAGAAGCATGGGCACGTATGGCCAGGGGTGAGGACTTGAGTTTCATTTGGAATCTTTAAAAACAAAATTTCACCTCAGCATCTGTGGGGTCAGAAGGACCAGGGGCGGAGGCCTCGAGGGAGGGAGTGAGGGAGGTGAAGGCGTCGGAGGCAGCTTGGGAGGGGCAGGCCTGTGGGTGGCCGGGTGTGGGCGTGGGAACATGGGCAGCCCAGGTCGCGCTCCAGGGCTGGGCACTCTGTGTGCCAGGTGGGGGTGGGGTCCGAGGCGGAGGGCTCTTCCTCGAAGGCTCCATGGCCAACTGGCATCCCTCTAGTCTCCTCCGCTCTTGGCCTGGGAGAGAGAGAGAGTGACTTTCACACACAGCTCCAGGCCCCAACCCTCAGCAGCCAGCCCGAGGGTGGTGGGGCCGGGAGTCGTCTCTGCCCCTCCACCCTGAGGGAGTCATTCATGAGGGGACCTCACACTCAGGCTGAAGGGGCTGCAGAAGGTCAAGAGGCGGCCCCGAGGGCTCTGGGTCCCTGGGACGGAAGCAGTCTTGCCCAGTGGAGTCCGGGAGCCCAGCACTTACCTCCTCAGCCACTTTCTCTTCTGCTCTGGCTGCCTTGTCCTCCTTGTCCTCCTGCAGGGGGGCAGGCCCCAGGTCCTCCTGTGAGGGAGCAAAGGGGGACAAAGGGGGTGTGGGACCATGTGGAGCGTGCAGAGGCTCCCACGGCTCTGCAACCAGGGCTCACCCACCTGGCCTCAAAGACGAGCAGAGGCCCTCGTCACCTCGCTGCATGTATGTAGAAGGCAGGAGGGGCGGGAAGTGTGAAGACCAGTCTGACCACGGGAGTGACAGAGCCTCATGGAAGGGCCCACAGTGGGGGCTCTGTCCGAGGATGCCAAGGCCTTCTGGGGGCACCAAGTATCCTGGAGCCCCGCTTTACACCCCCTAAGCGAATGCGGAGTCTCTGGGCAGTCTGTAGTTGGGCCGCTGCACCAAGGAGGACTGGTGAGGTGGGGTGCAGTGGGGTGCAGTGGGGTGGGGGAGGGCCGTGGCCCTGAAGCCTGAGACCTGACCCCACCCTCAGTGCCCCCGAATCACATGATCATGCACCCCTGTCCGACTTAGCTCCCAAATAACCCTAGGTGGAGGGGTATGCCATCACTGTTTGCACTGCGATCCTGAGGCCAGAGAGGCCAAGTATCCAGCTCAAGGCCTCAGAGCTCAAAGCAATGGAGCTGGTAAGGATCAGGTTCGGCTTGCTCCAGGCCCATCCCTATCCCTAGTAGCATCTTTCTCTCTCCCTGCCTCCTGGATGGGCTCTGGGCTCAAGCTGGTCTGGTTGAGGTCAGTAGGGATTATACCATCCTCCCCACTACCTGTCTCCTACTCCCTTACCCCCAGCCAAACACTGCCTAAGGTGGCCTGCCTGGGGGGTGGTTGAGTGACAGCTGTGGGCAGGACCAGACTGGATGATCAGCCTGGATCCCAGTCCTAGCATCTACCTCTAGAGGATCCTGCCATCTCCGTGCTAACACTGGGACATGCTGGGTAGATTGGGGCTTTAATAGGGCACCCAACTGTGTCAGCTAGAGTTGGAGCAGGCCTTCCAGGCAAAGGGTAGGTGGCTCCCTGCCTCGTCCTGCCACCCCAGGGCAGGTGCATGAGGCCAGCGGAATGGAAGAGCTGTCAGACTGGCAGCACTGCATCCTTCTGTGGTTCACTGGGGAGGGAGTGCGACTGGTTTTTAGGTGTCACCAGGAAATGTCCCCTTGGGGCAGCCGCCCACACCCTAGGACCTGGGGTGACTCCGTGGGCTCACCGGCCCTCCTTCAAGGCCAAAGAGGAGTGCCCAGACTCCCTCTCAGAGGCCCAGTGGCAGCCTGGCCCCACCCCAGCGCCTCTTTTGCTGGGGGGTGGGAGAGGGAGGGGCCTGGCGTCTCCTGGAGCACCTATGGGTCCTGCCCAGAGGCACAGATGATGATGATGATATAGTCACCTGCCTCTGTTGGGTGCTCACCATGATCCAGGTGTAACGGTTTCCTGAGGGGCAATTTCCCTGCAGCATCATACATCGTCACAGGGAAACGGGCACTCTCAGCCCCTCCCATGTTACGGATGAGGTAATGGAGGTGCCAGGGGGTTGAGCAGCTTCCCAAGGTCATATAGCTAGCAAGGGGCAGAGCTGGGAATGAGGACAGGGAGCAGTTGCCCGCCCCAAGGACATGGGGACCCTCTGTTGGTGCTGAAAGTGGGTGCCTAGGTGGCCCCCTTCCCCTCACCCACTCCCCGAAGCAGGGATCCTCATTGCTGGGGGCCCGGAGCGGCCTGTACCTGCCCCCCATATAAACCAGGCTCCCAACTGCTACCTCACCCTCCTGCAAAGTCTGCCCTGGGACCTTGGGCACCTTACGTAATCTCTCTGGGCCTCATTTCCACACCCTGTTTCTGGGGATTTTGTGCCAATTAAATGAATTAGTAAGTGTAAAGTGCTTCAAGCAGAGCGTGCTCTGTGGTGGGTGCTGGGACAGCTCACCCACGGGCCTCTGGCTCCTGGGAGTGCCCTATTGCTCTTCATGCTCCCAGCAGCTGGCAAGCCCATGTGCCCATGTGCGCGCGCGCGCGCACACACACACACACACACACACACACACGCGGGCGCACACGCTAGCGCCCACGAAGGTGGAGGGCGGGGTCAGGACCCTCACTGCTTTGTCACGAGGGGGCGCTGCTGCCCTGCTCCTCCTGGGAGGTGAAGGCAGCCCACCAGGCCCTGGCACGGAGGCCAGCTACCAGGCCTGTGGGCGGTGACTTGGTAGCTCCAGCCCAGTGTCTATGGCCTAGGAGGCTGCCTGTCACCACAGGGGGCCCACAGGACCCTGCTTTCACTGGTGAAATGTGGTGCCTCCCAAATGCTGAGCATCAAGAGGACGTGGTTTTGAGCCTCACTTTCCAGGTGGGCCCAAACTGCCCCCCTCACAAGGGTCATTGGGAGGATCCTAGGCATTAATGGGTGTGAGAAAAACCAAGCACGCATCATGGGTCCCTAAGTCTCTGCTTCCTTATACGTCATGAGGCCATACTGCCTCCTCCCCAACTATCCTGTCTGGGACCCGATCTCACCTTTCGAACCACTCCAGAGGTGATGGCAATATTCTCTGCCTCCTCCACCGTCTTGATGGCCACCGTGTTGACGCTGGTGACCACGGCCTCACTCACAGCGTTGGCCTGCTCCTTGGTCTTCTCAGCCACTGCAAGAGGACTCTGGCTGGCCTTGGTCCTCCTGCCCCGTCCCCGCCTGGGCCTGGCCTGCCCAAGTCAGGCTGAGCAGCCCCTTTCTCAGGGCGCTCAAAACTCTGGCTCTACTGGAGGCCCGGGGCTACCCCTTTCTCTGACTCCAGGGGAGCCCTGTTGCTGATGGAGGAATCAGGGGGCCCACCCTCGGTCTAGCCTCAGGGTCTGGTGGAGTCTGGATCCACTTACAGCTTAGGCTCCCAGTTGGGGGGTAAGGAGGACCCTGGGCTCAGGTGTTCAGTACCAGGTTGCAGTCCCTGGAGGTCCCAGCCCCAGTGCCCCCTGGCCCTGGGCTCCTCACCTGAGGTCACGCTCTGCACAACATTCTCCTTGGTCTTGGCTCCTGGGGAGGAAATGGAAGCGTCAGCCTACTCCTCCTGGTGTTGGGGGAGGGGAAGGGAGGGCAAATACACACAGAACAGCTGGACAAGCTGTGGGGTCCGTAGGGGGTGAGGATGGTGTCTGGGGGCCAGCAGTCCCTTCAAAGGCTGCTTCCGGCTGTGTCTGGAGGAAGCGAATGGATGGGAAGTGGATGGGACAGAACAGGGGTGAGAGAGACCAGGCCTGAGGTAGGGTGCAGACCCGCCCGGGTGAGGCCTGGGCCTCGGAAGCAGCAGCAGGACAGAGCTGAGTCACCGGCTTCCAAGGGGCTGAAGGGGGGTGGGGCTGCCCCGGACGGTGGGGCTCGGGCTCCTCTCCCCTGCCCACCCCTTCCCTCTGAACAGGGTGGGGGCCTGGGACGTGGCCGCTGAGCACCTGCCTGCTCATCCCACAGAGGCTCCAGGCTCAGCGTGGCTTCTCATCTGAGTCCAGGGGCCTGCAGGTGATGCTGGGGTGGGGGACACTGGCTTGCATTTGTGCACTCGCACTCACGCTCGCGTGCGTGTGTGCATGTGTGTGCGTGCACAAACAGGTGTGTGTGAGGGCTGAGTGCCCTCTGGCTGTTCTGCCCCAGAGACCCTGGGGCCCTGAGGAAGTCAAAGCAGACACTGGGGGGTTTGGAGGGGTGGTGTACAGGGGCATGGGGGTGCTCCAGGGCCTGGAGACCCTGACTCAACAGCCAGGTCCTCACCCCCACCCAAAATGCCTCCCTGGGGCTGGGGCATAAGGCTGGCCCTGGGAAACTAGGCACCCCCGCCTCCGGCCTCCCAGCCGCTGCACCCTGCCACGCCCTGCTTCGCCCACACTCACCCACATACATGACCCCCTCCTTGGTCTTCTCGGCCGCTTCCGTCACCCCCTGCTTGGTCTTCTCCACGGCGCCCACCACACCCTCCTTGGCGATGGAGAAGCCCTTCTTGAAGACGTCCATGGTGGTGGGCAGGGCAGGGAGGCTGACGCGTGCAGAGAGCTGTGGCTAGAGCAGGCAAGAATGCTGCTGCAGCCACCGTCCCCGCCGCCTCTTACTGACGCCCATGAAATATTGATGATGCGGCGGCCGGCTGCTGGGAGCACGGCCAGCGGGGCGGGCAGGGCGGGGGGAGGGCACCCGCCCTCACCTTCCCCCGGGGCGGGGCAGCGGGGGTCCGGCTCCCCTGCGCCCCTGCTGCCCAGCCCTCCCCTCCTGCCCCCTGCCCTCTGGGGAGGGCGGCTGCAGGGGGCTGCACACATCCTTATCCATCACTGCCCCTTATTCATCCGCTGCCCTGCCCACCCGCAGCGGCCGCCACGGCTGGGGGCTCTCAGGCCCCGGGCCTGTTGTGTCTGATCCATCTGGGACAGAGGGGGTCAGGCAGGGGAGGCGCCTTTGCTACCAGCGTCCCAGGTAGGGCAGGGGTCAGGGCCCCGTGGGGCCTGTCAGGCAACAGTGGCCAACCTCCCAGACCAGCTTGGGCTGCCTGGTGACTCACCAGCCCCGTGGACGGCCCCATCCCCGGGCTCTAGCAAGGGCAGCCAGGGCGCTGGGGCAGGGGAGCCGGCAAGGGTTCCCCAATGTCCGAGCGACCCTAGGACAGCTCCTTACTCTCTCTGAGTCTCCACCCACCTGCTGGCTCCCACAGCCCCCCGGGGTGGAAGGTGCTGAGTAGGCATGAAGTGCCCCCCGCTTCCTGGCCACCAGCATGGATGGGCAGCAGGTTTCCTGAGACTGACCCGACCGCTTCCTGCAGCCCCCACCTCCTCACTTGGGCTCTCCTAGCTCCCATGGGGACATGTTTGGTGGGGCGGCCTCCCTGTGCATCCCACACCTCCAGTGTCCCTGACCTAAGTACTCTTGAGGCACAGGAACCAGCCTGAGTTGTTGGCTGCCTCTGTGGGGGACGGTGGCGGGGGGGGGGGGCACTGGGGGAGGCCGGACGAGTCTCACCGGGTGGGCCGGCCCAGGCCACTTCCTCTCTTTGTTGTGCCTGTGCTTTCTTTTCCTTCTGAGACTTAACTTGAAGACGACGTCACCCTCACCAGCAGTTTGTGGAGTCCTTTGCTGCGGCTGAGCCTGCCCCACTGCCAAGATGATTCTGACACTGCTGCTTGGCCTCGGAGGGCCCCTGGGCTGGGGGCTGCTGGGGGCCTCGGCCCAGGGCACAGGTAGCGGGCTCTCGGATCCACAAAATCCAAGGCCGCCTGGGGTCTGGAGGGCGGAGGCTGAGGACACCGGCAGGGACCCCAGCAGACGGTAAGAAGGACCTCGACCTTGGGGGAGGTCATGTACCTGATCCAAGTCCCAGCTCAGCCAGGACAGGTCTCTCGGGACCCCAGCTACCCATCTGTGAAATGACCTACAACTATCTACCTGCTGGGCCAGCTGTGAGGCTGAATGAGGTGCCAGGTGCCAGGCTCCTTTCAAGAGGCCACCCCGAGGCAGCCCGGACTGGGCACCACAGGAGCTTCCCTGCCTGGCCCATGGCAGGGAATGGACCTGGAGGTCGGGCAGGAGCATTTCTTGCCACCAACCACTTAGCTTGGGGTGATGAGGGGCAGTAGTTCCAGAAGTTTCCAGCTGGCCTGGCAATGGCTCCTGTTCTTCGAAGTAAGTAAACTCTTGACAGTTGAGCCTAGGTGAGGCTGGCCTGGCCTAAGTCATAGAAGACAGACGCTCCTGGGGACTGGATTTTTGTCTGATTGCCCCCAGGGGACTGGCGTGGGCCCTCAGGCCGAGGGACAGGCAGCGAGCAGACAGGGTGCTCTGCTCTATTTCCAGAACAAGGAGGAGGCCATGGCGTCCAGGGAGCTCCGCTTCAGTGCCCCTCTGGAAATGGGTAGGATGGTCTTGGGACCGAACCAGGACACCATTTTCCAGCCTTGTATTTGTCCGGGCCCTGGGGCCCCCTGCCGATAAGGTGCTTGGCCTGTGGGTCCCTCCTTCGGGTCCTCCACTGTCAGAGCAGCAGGTCCTTTACTGGGTCCGTCTCGGGCTAGTCACCTTGCCAAGTGTTATCTCAGCGAATCCTCCCAACAGCCCGGGTTGCCGCGGAGCCCGAGGCTCAGAGAGACTAAGCAGCTGCCACAAGATCACACAGCTAAGGAGATCTAGAAACCACGATCTAAGTCTGACTTCAGAGCTCATGCTCTGGTCCCTGAGCACCCAGAGGCAGCCCCAACCCCCAGATGTGCCTAATATGTGTACCGCACCCCTGACCACACACACGCACAAACCAGACTTGGTAAGAGTGTTTATATGGTGAGGGTGAAAGGGGTCAATGTACACCCACCCACAGTCTTCCATTCGGCTCTCTGAGATTCACTGTCACGTTGGCTTACAGAATGAATCCACCTGGGACAGTTCTATACAGCTCTGACGCTTCAAGGTGAATGTGTTTGTTGGACACTTTCCCGAAAGCAGATTTGCCCATGGAGAGGAAAGAATAAGCAAGTGCACGCCGACTCTCAGTGAGGGAGGGGCTGGCCAAGTGGGGAGCCTCCCCATCTCTGCCCCGCCACCAGGCCGGCTCAGTGCTGGATGGTGCGGGTGATTCTTGGTGGGGGACTCCAGCCACCCAACTCTGATTTCAGGTCCAAGAACCAAGCCTCCTTTCCCCAAAGCCACTAGCTCCATGCCCCTTTCTTTGGGCTGCCTGCTTCTTTTTGATAAAAGAGAGGCTCAGGGTTCCAGGTGGATCAGAAGAAGGTAGGAGACATTCCTCTTTTTCCACACCCCCTTGGCTATGGGGAGGGACTTGTGGGCTGCCCCATGGAGCTCACTCATCCATTCCCTGGTCGGTCCCAGTGTGTGCAGAGCATGTGCGGATGTACATAGAAGGGCGTCCCAGCCCAGGAATACCCCGGTCCCAGGGGAACCTTGGGGGGTCCCAGCAGGCCTGCTGGGTCTCCTGCCCACAACCCAGAAGCTGTGGTCCCCACAGGCCCAGCCCAGGTTGTCAAGGCCTCCGGAGGGGCTGGTGTGAAAGGAAGGAAATGCTGCTCAGCTTCCTCGGGCTGATTGCTTCCCGTGCTCTGTGAAGGGAGAGGCGGAAATGGTGCTCCAGCCTCCCTCCTGCAACAGGGGGAAGGGGAGGTGGGGCCTGGCAGCATCAGGGACAAGCCTGGTGGACCCTCAGCCCCTGGCTGCCAGAACCAGGCCTCCCAGCCTGCATTTGCCCCCCCCCCACACCTGTTTCTGGCAGACCCTGGACATGGGCTCAGATTAGACTATTTCCAAGGAGAAGTTCTAACAGAACAATTTGGTGCCAGATGCCACGTCCCAGGGTGGAGGCCGGACATGGTTGGGTGCTTCCCACGGCTCTGGGACCCCCAGCAACATGTGTATTTGGACTCCGTGGGGAGGTGGCTCTTTCGATGCTCCCCGATTTTGGTGGGAGTGGAATTGAGCAGCGGCGGTTTAGCAGGTGGGCTCCTCAGAGCCCGCACTAGCTCCCCCTGCAGGGCTGAGCCTGCGTTGAGGACCAAGCTGAGCCCTGGGCAAGGTGCCCCATCTCCACACTGCAGTGACAAGGCAGCTCCCTCGGCTCTCTCCCTGCTGTGAGGCTCAGAGGAATGGGGACGCCACCCAGCTCCTAAGTGACAGGTCAGAGCATCCAGTGGGCTGCAAATCCCGGGTACCCACTGTCCTGTCCCCCCAGGATGGGCGGTAGTATAGGAGAGGCTGCTCCCAGCAGTCCAGCTGGCCCTGCCTGCTGGCATCAGCTTCTCTTGGCCCACGCACAAGTAGCATCTGTGATGGGGTGCAGCTGAGCTCTGGTGGCCCAGGGGAGGCCTGCACATGGCTGGAGGTCACACAGGACGGACGGAGCCCAGGCCACGCATCACGGCCGTGGCTGCACCTCCTGCACCTGTTCCTGCCGTCAGAAGTACAGGGCCCTGGGCGCACTCGGGGAACCCCCACTCTGGACATCGAGTGGGCCTCAGGTTCCTCTGCCAAAGCCCCTTTCCAGCTCAAAGACAAAGCCCCACAAATTCTCCCCTGGAGTGGTCGTATTCAAGGCCGCATTTGAGGTCTCAGAAAGCAAGAGTGCAGAGAACACGCCCTCCTTCCCCAGAAAGACGGAAGGGGCTGTCAGAGGTGGGCTCTATTGGCAGTGAAGTGTCCCAGTGGACAGTGGCAGTGGCACATCCATAATTCGGGGGGCTCCAGCTCACAGACCTCTCCCTGCTGGAAGCTGGCTCAGCCTCCCCCATAGCCCCTCTCTCTGTCCCAAGGGAGGGGCCAGAGGTGGCAATCTTCTTCACATTGCCAGGACTGGGGAGGGGGGAAGGGCCTTGCTCACAGTCACCCTGAGCCCAGGAAGGGGGACTGTAGGGGGGCGCCCAGGTTTCTGAGCTCGCATTAGAAGCTCCAAAGGGGCCAGCACTCTCCTGACTGGGGCAAAGCCTCAGGTGGAGGCCATGTCAAAGGCCCAGGGCAGCCCAAACCCGCTAGAGGATCCCTGCACTCATTTCTAGGCTGGCCCCAGGGGATGAGGGCACAAAGGGGGTGCACAACAATGGGAGCTTCAGGGAGCCGGGCTGGGGGCTCAGGCTCGGAGGGCCAGCATGCAGCTGCCAGGAGCTGGAGGAAACCAAAGCAAAGGTCAGGAATGTTCCCAGGGCTTCTGGGCCAGCGGCCTGTACTATGCCAAGGGGATAGGGCTGCCAAGGGTGGGGGGTGGAGGAGCGTGGGCAGGGAGAATAGTTGGAGCCTGAGGTTTGGGCAGGTCAGGAGAGAAAGTTCCTGGGCAGGAAGGGTGGGCGGCACCGCTTCCGGTTCCAGGAGCTCGAGGTGGAAAGTCCCAGTCACTGGCTGGCAGGCTGGACCAGACCCAGCTCGCATGGGCACAGGCCTTCTGGACCCTCCACAGCAGTTCAGAGGGTGAGCAATGAACAGAACTTTGTTTTGAGTGGGTGTTTCTCAACCTCGGCACTACTGGCATTTGGAACTGGCTAATTCTTGGCCGTGGGGGTGCTGGGCTGTGCTGTGTGCATTGCGAGGTGTTCGGCAGCATTCTCGGTCTCTGGGCATTAGATGCCAGCTTCACGGCCACCCTCCCAGTGGAGGAAGTCCCTTCCCCCCACCATCCACTGCCCCCCCGCCCCACTGAGAACCACTGGTTAGAGAAATGATTTTCCCCAGACCCATGTTCCAGCATTTCCATGGGACCCAGGGTGGGGGTAGGGTGGAGGCTGGCGTTTCTGGTCCTGGAACAGTCTGTGCAGGTGGCCGTCTCACCCTTGGTCCCTAAACTCTGGGCCCAGCACTGTCACAGTCGCTCTTTCCGCTCTGAGTGAACATTCTTTGCCTAAAGTCAGGGCCCGCTCCATGGGCACGTGACCTGAGCCGTCACACAGGGCGTGCCCACAGAAGGGCCCCACACTTGGTTTAATCTCTATTGTTGTCCCACGTTGTCATTTTGCACTGGACACTACGAATTATGTAGTCAGTCTCGTGTAAAATATTTATTCTCTCTCCCTTTATGGAAAAACTGTGCTCACCCTCTGGGTTGGAGTCAAACCTTCTGCAAAGTTGGTTGAGACAGTCAGAAGCCCCTGCCCCCACTGGTCCCCAAAGGCAATGCTTTGAACTCTTTAGGTGAATCCTTTGGCATTTACCCACATCTCTAACTAACATGTTTATATTGCTACTTTTTGGGACATAGCATTATCCGTGATTCAGCTCTCAGTCCCACTTCATACTCCAACCCCAACATGCATGCATAGGCGTGCAAGAATGTGTGCACGTGCATGCGTGGTCACACACACACGCACTGCCTATCCATCATCCTCCCATATTGTCATTTTGAGTGTTTACATTTATACGACTATGTATGCTACTCAGAGTGAAGACTTGGAAAAAACCTATGAATCCTCCCTCCCCCCCCCGCCAGCCCGCACACTTCATATTTTTGGTCTTCCCTGGAATAAACAACTGTCTTTATTTTTTTGTTTCTTTGGCTTCGTTCCCTGTGTCTGTCACTACTCAATCCTAAACTCTTGGCCACTTGGCCACATCTGCTCTCCCCTTTCATCCGTGTCCGGTGTTTGACCACCTGTGTCTTCTCAGTGACATCGCTCTCAGAGCCCCAGCTGTGCTCCAGTCTGGACACTGGCCCCACACCCACTGCCCATCACTGTACTGGGCTCTCCTTCCCCCCGACTCCCTCCTGGAACGTCTGTCTCCTGAGGCCATTCCTTCCTCGTGCTTGGTTCTCTGGCCTGTGTTGGTGTAGTACCTCCAGCACAATGGTACTCTGTCCTCGGCTGTGACTTAGGATGATCCAGAGAGTTTTAAAAATGTTGATGCTCAGGCCACAATCCCAGAGACTCTTGCTTCATTGACCTGGAGTGGAGCCCAGAGGTTCTTCTTTATAAAGTGCTATACTTTTGAGGGGTTTTGATGGCAAGATTGCAAACCACTGTTCTAGTAGCTCCCTGATGAGGGGTCCTGGGTGTGCAAGGTTTTGAAATCTGATTTGTTGAAAAATGTCTTTATTCTGCTCTCTACACTTTGATTGATAGTTAGGCTGAGTATAGGATTCTAAATTGGAAATATTTTCCTTCTGTATTTTTTTAAAGATTTTATTTATTTATTTATTTATTTGAGCGGGGTAGGGGCAGTGTGAGCAGGGAGAGGGACAAGCAGACTCCGCACAGAACATGAAGCCCAGTGCGGGGCTTGATTTCACAACCCTGAGATCATGACTGGAACCGAAACCAAGAGTCAGACACTTAACTGACTGAGCCGCCCGGGTGCCCCCATTGCATATTTTGAAGGCAGTTCTCCACTGTGTTCTAGTTTCCAGTGTTGCTGTTGAGGGGTTCAAGGCCGTTCTAAGTGCTAATGTGTGTGTGTGTGTGTGTGTGTGTGTGTGTGTGTTGATTTTTCTCTCTAGAAAGAATAGAATTATTTTCATTTCCAGAGTTCTAAAATTTCATGATGATATTGAGTTTTTCCATCATATTGAAGGTAACTGGTGGACCCTTTGAATCTGGAGGTTCAAGCCCTTCACTTCTGTAATATTTGATTTTTTTCATCAACGATTTCCTCACGCTCTTCTCTTTCTGGAACTCCTATTATTTGGATGCTAGATTTCCAGGATCTATTTCTCTGATCTTTCCTCTCCTGTTTTCTCTTTCTCTCTTTGCTCTTTTCTTAGGAAAATTTCTCTAACTTTACCCTCTAACATTTCTTTTAAACCTCCTTTGCGTTTCTACTGTGATATTTTTAATTTCCAAGGGTCCTTTTCATTCTCTGAATGTTCTTCCACTTTTAAAGTAGCTTCCTGTTCTTCCTTGGATGTAGTAAATTCTGTCATAGATCTGGGGCTATTATTACAAATTCGATGGACTTCTCTTCTCTGCCCAGTGTTGGTTTTGTCCAAGTTGATTTTTTTTTCCGATTGCTTGTTTTTGACCTCCCTCTTTTGTACTAGAGATTTTTCTCAGGAGTCATCTTGGACATCTGCCCACTTGAGAGTAGACAGACTAAGAAGCTGATTGGAAGCTGGGTGAACGGATGGAGCTTTCTGACCTCGTTTGTCATAATATGTTCTGCTGGGCTATTTCACTGGGGGAGCCCCTGATGTTATTGTTTTTTAGCTCTTTCCTCTTGAGTGGGGTCATTTTCCTGACAAGCTTTTTCAGTCTGCTACCAAGAGGGTAAAATCTGCCCACCAGGCTTTTAGGAGCCAAGTGGGAAATCAGACTGGGGGTCCTCAGCTTTCAAAACAGATATGGTCACTCAATCCCCCTCAATCCTTCCCCTGCCCTACCCCTATCCCGTGTGCCTGGCAGCCCCAGGACAGAGACCAGCTCCAGAGAGTAAGATCTCAGCCCGATGGCCCCTCCATCTCCAAGGCCCTGAACACGGCCCCCTAATATCTGACAAGTGTGGCCATTCCTCTCCATACCCACCGCCATTACCCATGGAACCTGCCAGCATCTTCCACCTAGATCCCTGACACAGCCACCTACCTATACCTTGCCCCTTCTTGTCCTTTCTGTACCCAGGAACCAGGGTGGCTCTGTCATGTCACTTCCCTGCTCAAGCCCCCCCCGCCCCGCCCCAAACACACACACCTTTCTGTGCTTTCAGGACATGGTCCAGCTCCTCAGCTAGCACTCAGACCTCCACAGCCTGGCTTGTCTACCTCTGCAGCTCTTCTCTGGCCCAGCCCCTGCATTTCAGCGGGCCAGAACCTCTACCACAGCCCCTGGTGCCAAATTATCACCTCCTTCTGAAAGTCCCCCCAGCTACCACCTTCCACACCATCTGAGATTGCTTGCTTTTTCCTGGGGACGCTGGAGGGGAGGTCTATTCCTCCATATTGGCGCTGAGTGCTGCTGAGCTTTAGCCCAGCACCCAATCCCAAGAGGTGCTGAGCTGAGTTGAGCCATGGAAGTCACTGCCGCTTGCAACTCTGGAGAGCTCCGTTCTGGGAGCTAATTACCAGGCGAAGGACCCTCTGACATATTCTACTGAGCCCTTCAAGGCTGTCACTGGACCAGTGAGCTGGGGCTGTGCCAGCCATGAGCACCCCTGCTCCTGGTCATTTGCAACCACACACACTGGTAAAGGGCAGAGATGGAGAGGCTACCCCTCGGGTGTTCAGGATGCTGAATGTGACCCCCTAAGCACCCTGTAGGACCTTGCCCAGAGAAGGGACTGCTCAGCTCAGCTGCATTCTCCCACAACTGTTTGAAAGCCCACTTCCATAATGGCCATCACGGGGAGTGGCCAGGGAGCAGGTGCCCTCCCCGCAGCCTGCTTGGTGTGAGGAAACCTGTGAGTGGTGATGGGGCAGGGCAGCAGGGTTCACTGAGCACTTGTCAGGAGCCAGGCCCTTGATACTCATCCGCACACCTGGAGGAGGGTATTATCATCTCCAGCTGAGGAATGGGCAAGGGGGAGCTCCGTAAGTGCCTCCCTCAAGGTCACACAGACGGAGTGTGAAGGGTTTGAACCCAGGACCCTCCAGCCCCAGCAGCACTGTGCTGCCTCCCTGGTACCAAGAGAAACAGGGAGAGGCCCTCCTGGCTCCGTGGGTCATTTTGCTGTGTGATTTCAGGGCTGCTCTCCAGCCTCTCTGTGCTGGCCCCTGCTCGAGGGCCTTCCTGGAAGGCGGTAGAGTAGATGCCCTCGCAGGAGGGTTTGTGGAGCTTTTGTCCTGGAGTCGAGGGATGAATAATGCAGAGTGCTCCCCTCTCAAGCTAATGGATTCTAGAATCCCGGGCATGGGGTGGGGCCGGAAGGCAGGGGTGGTGCGCTGGCTCCACTGTTGACCTCTAGGAAGGGTCCTGTGGGACCTGGGCGTGGCTCGGCAGCCCTCTCCTCTGGCTTGTTTTTCCAGTAACTGGTGCCCTTACCAGAAATCCAGGCTGGTCACCTTTGTAGCTGCTTGCAAAACGGAGAAATTCCTCGTCCACTCACAGCAGCCATGTCCACAGGGGACTCCGGACTGCCAGAAAGTCAAAGTCATGTGAGTGGGGGCAGGATGGGGCAGGGCGGGCCATCCATCCAAGGCCCATGCTGGCTCACCCTGGAGTCACTGAACTGGCCCCTCTTTCCCCAGGTATCGCATGGCACACAAGCCACTGTACCAGGTCAAGCAGAAGGTGCTGGCCTCCGTGGCCTGGAGGTGCTGCCCCGGCTATGCAGGCCCTGACTGCCAGCACCACGGTAGGGCTCCCCGGGGCTCCCGCCCCTCCAACCTCTGACCCCAGAGGTCAGGCAGTTCCTCTGACCCGTGGGGTCGCTATCTGTTGCCTCTTCTCCACAGATCCCACGGCAGTCCCTGAGCCTGAAGATCTAGGTGATGGCCTCCAGGAGCCTTGGGATGGGCCAGTCGGCTTTGAACCTGGTATGCTGCTTCCCTAGAAGGTGCAGGAAGGGCAGGCAGGCAGAAAGAACACATGTGCCCAGGCCCTTTCTCTTCTGATAGGGTGGTACCGTTTCAGGAAAACTCTGTGCCCAGAATCAGCAGGGGCCCTTCCGTGGCTCTGTATCAGCCTACCCCCACACCAAGGAGGCCAGAGTCACAGGGCCCTCTGTTACTACCTGCTGGCTAAGCACCACACCCTTTTCCTTGACTCCATTTTCTGAGAAGGACAGCTTCATCTGGCACCTTCCCTGACCCTTGAATGGCACAAGATCCCATGGCCTGGAAGAAACTTTCCCACATGTGTCCTACCGAGGCCGGGAAGTCATACTATCCTTGGTCTAGAGTCAGCACAGAACCACTAAGAGGCACCATTTGTGAGGCCTTTCAAGGCTGGGCCACGTTCGGGATGGCAGATGAGTTTCATCATGTGGTGAACTTATCTTTTGACAACGGCTGCCTCAAATGATGTTGAGAGGCCATGTCCACACAGCTGAGGAGGAAAGTGTGCCGTGATTGATTAGTCATGTCTGCTATGGGTGCTGGGATGAGGGGGAGGGCTCATGCGCCTGCATTTCCCCTTCTGGAGCTAAAGGCTGCTAGACTCGGAGGACATCAGCACATACCTCCCTGATATTTCCATCTGAACCTGGAAATTTCCTTCTCTGTACCTCCTGATCTGCCCAGGCCTGGGGAGTTAGACCTCCACACTTCTCTCTCATGTGTCTTCAGGCCACCCGGCAGCTGAGCTCAGCAACATCATGGAGCAGCAGGAACGCTTGCTGGGAGATCTCCAGAATGACATTCACCAGGTGGCAGATGGCCTCCCGGGCCAGTGGAAGGCCCTGGCAAGCAATCTCACAGCTGCCACGATCGAGGCAAATCAGACAGAGCCTGGTGAGTGTCAGGCTCCAGGGGCTGAGGCAGAGCCTGCTCATACCCGAGGGGACGAGAGGAAGGCCCAAATCTCAGAGGACCCCCCCGCCCAGTCCTTGCCCGGGGAGGGGTGTCTGCTCCTGCAGGGCTTGTGTAAAAGCATGTCTCTGTTGCAGAGGCGCCTGGCAGATCCTTGGAGCAAGTGCTACTGCCCCACGTGGACGCCTTCCTACAGGTGCATTTCAGCCCCATTTGGAGGAGCCTCAACCAAAGCCTGCACAGCCTCTCCCAAGCCATAAGAAACCTGTCTCTTGATGTGGAGGCCAACCAACAGGCCATCAAGGGGGTCCAGGAGAGCTCAGTGGCCAGGGCTGACTTCCAGGAGCTTGGGGCCAAATTTGAGAGCAAGGTACAGGAGAACGCCCAGAGGGTCGGGCAGCTGAGGCAGGACGTGGAGGAACGCATGCACGCCCAGCACCTCTCCCTGCAGCAGTCGCTCTCCGAGGTCGAGGCGGACGTGGATGCCAAGTTGAAGAGGTTCGTTAAGGCCCAGGAGCCCGTCGGGGCCAATGGCAGCCTGGTCCCAGCCGCGGCAGGGGCCGGGGCCAGGCCGGAGCCGGAGAGCCTGCAGGCCAGGCTGGGCCAGCTGCAGAGGAACCTGTCGGCGCTGCACACGGCCGCCGGCCGCAGGGAAGAGGAGTTACAGAGCACCCTGGCGGACATGAGGGCCACCCTGGCGCAGCACGTGGATGAGATCAAGGAGCTGTATTCGGAGTCCGATGAGACCTTCGATCAGATCAGCAAGGTGGAGCGGCAGCTGGAGGAGCTGCAGGTGAACCACACGGCGCTGCGTGAGCTGCGCGTCATCCTGATGGAGAAGTCGCTGATCATGGAGGAGAACAAGGAGGAGATGGAGCGGCAGCTCCTGGAGCTCAACCTCACCCTCCAGCACCTGCAGGGCGGCCACGCCGACCTCATCAAGTACGTCAAGGACTGCAACTGCCAGAAGCTCTACTTCGACCTGGACGTCATCCGCGAGGGCCAGAGGGACACCACGCGCGCCCTGGAGGAGGCGCAGGTGAGCCTGGACGAGCGGCACCAGCGCGACGGCTCGTCCCTGCAGGCCCTGAGCGGCACGGTGGCGGCGCTGTCGCGGGCGGTGGACGCGCAGCGGGCGGAGGGCGAGCGGGCGCGGGCCGACGGGGCGCGGCTGCGGAGCCAGCTGCGGGCGCTGGACAGCGAGGCGAGCGCGCTGCGGGCGGCGCACGGGGAGATGCGGGCCGAGGTGGGCCAGCTGCACAGTTACTTCACGGCCCTGCTGGACGACGCGCTGCGGCACGAGGCCGTGCTGGCCGCCCTTTTCGGGGAGGAGGTGATGGAGCAGATGGCGGAGGAGGCGCCCGACCCGCTGCCCCTGCGCTACGAGCAGATCCGCGCCGGCCTGCGGGACGCCGCCAGCGGGCTGCGGGAGCAGGCGCTCGCCTGGGACGCGCTGGCCGCGCGGGTGGCCGCTCTGGAGCGGGCGGCGGGGGCTGGCGGGCCCACCCCGGCCGGGCTGGCGCAGGAGCTGGAGCGCCTGGACGCCGACCTCCGGCGGGTGGGCCGGTGCTGCGAGGCTTCGGGGGCCTCCCCCCTCAACCGCTCCCTCGAGGGCCTCCACGAGGCACTGGCCGCCACCGAGCGCGACTTGGAGCAGCACCAGCGCCTCTTCCACAGCCTCTTCGGAAACTTCCAAGGGCTTGTGGCTGCCAACGTCAGCCTGGACCTGGGGAAGCTGCAGACCATGCTGAGCAGGAAAGGGAAGAAGCAGAAGGGTCTGGAAGCTCCCCGGAGGAGGGACAGGAAGCAAGCAGAGACTTGGGCGGATAAGCCTGTCCAAGGGCCGGTGCTCTGGGAGGCAGGTGAGTTCCGGAGCTGCGGGAGGCGGGGTGGGCCTGGGCTGTCTGCTGGCAGCTCTTCCGCCTCTAAGAACGCGAGGTGAAAGAGAATGGGGAGACGGAGGGTCAGGACGACTCAGGGCCGGCTTTGCCCTGATCCCCCTTTCATGCAGGGCCAGAGGCCTCTTATGGTACCTGAAGTATAAGCAGGTAGAAGTCACAAGAGCCAAATGTCAGTGAGCGGGCAGAGGCCCGCCATGGAATGTTTGAGGCTCCTAGATATACGGCTGGCCACTGCCGCTGCACCTGTAGAGCGGGCGGGGGAAGCCTCCCCTTCCTGCCAGCCTCAGCACCCCCATCGCAGCTCTTCCTGTCCTCCCGACTTCACCCTGTGCATCTTTAATCAGCTCCCCTGCATACAAATACGTGAACGGGGGCTGGTGTGGCCTACCATGGGCAGTACCCCGCACGAGGGGAATCCAGGGGAAGGCCTTGGGCCCTGAAGGGAGCTCGTTGTGCTGCCATAGTTGGCCCATCTTGCGGCTCTGCACCAGGTCTCCTTTCTCGGCCTTTGCTATGTTGAGTCATCATAAAGCCCAACGGCAGTCGTCACTGCTGTCCTCCCTGCAGCTCAGTCAGGGGAACTGTCCCGTTCACACAGGTAGCAAGTGGCACAGGGAGCCCTGAACCCTGTCCAAGCTGTCTCTAGGGTGCTAGCTCTTCCCCCGTGAGCAGGGGCCCTGGGCCTGGGCAGCCGGCTTGGAGCCTGGCCCGCCCCTCTCTGAGTGTGTCCCTGGGAAAGGGACCCCTAGACTTCGTGCCCCAGGTGATTCTCCCCTGCCAGAGAGGCTGGCCTCGGGGCTCCGGCCACCTCCTCATCCAGACACAGGACCGGGTGCAAGGCCGCCATCTGGGCTGTCTATACCCCGGTGTAGCCTGGCATGTGGGAAGTCTGAGGCCCGGCTGAGGATGCCACCGCAAGCTCTCCCTGCTCCTGCCGACTCTCCATCCCGGCCCTGGAGGCCTGGGGGCCTGGGGGCGGTGGACAGAGCACAGTCTCTAGCACCACTTACTCATCTCAGTTTCTTCCTCTGTAAAATGGGAGAATCGCTACCTACGTCGAAGACTTGTTGTGAAGACTAGCAGGTACATTTACTGAATACCTGACATAAGGGCTAACATTTAGTAGAAACCAGTCAGCGTTTCCCCGTTTCCCCAGCATTTTCAGGGACAAGGCTCTGTCTGCCTGCACTAATTCATCCAGCATTTTTCTCCTGCGTGTGGTACAAGGCCTCAATTGCCTGAGGGTTTAGGTGTCTGAGTTTACCACTGCAATAGTTTATTTCAAAAAATGTTTTTCCTTAAAAATAAAAATTCCCGCTTATTTGTCTTGTAGAAAGACCACAAGTCTTGAATTTGTGCCCTGCAGGGAAGGCCACTCTCAGTTTACCTGCTAGCGAAATGAGAGAAGCACAACACTTGAGCCTTCTGAGGGGCAGGTTGGGCCCAGGGGCCGGTGGGGTCGGCCTGGAAGGCGGGACTGAGCGGCCGGCAGGCTGGCTGCAACGGGTGCAGAGAGAGCCAAGTACCGGCAGAGGGCGCGCTGGGCGGGCATCCCTTGGGCTGGGCGAGCGCCCCACCTCCTGGCTGCTGGGGGAACTACAGAGCCAGCCGCGGGCCTTTGACGGGACACAACCTTAACTACAAATGGGAAGGTTATTCCAAACTCTCCAATTCTCAGAAAATCTTCCAGAACTAAAGAAGCGCAAAATTTTGACATTCACAAGACTATTGCTGGACCGGGAGCCAAAGAGCTGGGGCTGTAGGTGGGATTAAGGCACTAACCACGATGCAAATTTCCCCTCCTTTAGGCCTCGCTTGGTTTTATCCCCTAAGAAGAAACAGGGAGTTTGGTCTCAACCAAGAGACACAGAGAGAGAGATACAGAGAGACACACAGAGAGTTGAGGGAGCCCATGGGGAACATGACCTCGTCGGTGCCAGGGCCAGTTTCATGGCCAGAACCCCCTGGGACTCACCCTTCCCGTTTCCTGGCTCTGTCCCCCACCCCGCCTGAGAGTCATGGCCAAGTAGCTGCGTTGGCTTCTTCCTCACTGTACACTCGCCCTCTACACGGAGCGGCTCCCTCTGGCTGCACACCTGCACCTGTGTTCTCTTCATCTCGCTTGTCCTCCCATGGCTGGCTAAAATGCTTTTTTACGTGGGAAGAGCACTGGAAATCAGGAGATCCAAGGACAGCTCCCAGTGTGGTAATTTATTATCTGTGTCTTCTGGAGCTGGCTTTCCCTTTCTGGGCCCATTTCCCCATCAGTAACCCTAGGGCTCTGTGCAAGTTTGAAAACATTAAGATGACCCACTTGAAGAGTTTTCTTGTCCGGTCCCACTTGCTCTTCTCTCTCCAAGGTCCCATGCCAGACATCCAGTAGGAAGGATCCTGCAGTGTTCTTTCTTTCACCAGTGTTAGCATTATTACCTGGAGGATAGGTAGTATTTTCTTTCTTGCCCTTGGGTATCTCAAGATCCCCAGGAGGTGGCAGTCGTGTGGGAGTCAGAGACCCGGGTGCCTGCCCCGTCTTGCCCTTGGCAAGCCACGCAGCTTTGGACAACCAGTGAAGCACTCAAGACTCAAGGTTTCCTCGGCGGCGGGGGGGGGGGGGGGGTGGCGGTGGGGGTGGGGAGGGTACTTACCTCTCAGGATGTTGGAAGGAAAGGGGAACAAATGAAAAAGGGCTTTTTAAAAATGTACACTTGTAGAGACAACCGATTCGTATTTTCCTTCCTCTCAATTAGTGACCCAGTGAGTGTTGGCCTGTTGGCTACCACTCTCTGAGGCCACTATTGGGAACACCTGGGTTATCTAGAAATAGTGACCTATTCCTACCGTTAATAAGGTGAGAAGGGCAGGTCTCAGGGTTTGGTTTCCCACCAGGGGGAGTGAGAGACAGTCACTGAGCACGTTCCTCCTGCATTCCAGGCACCCCTGTGGCCTTCTATGCCGGCTTTTCAGAAGGCACAGCTGCGCTGCAGACGGTCAAGTTCAATGCCACTTACATCAACATTGGCAGCAGCTACTTCCCTGAACATGGCTACTTCCGAGCCCCGGAGCGTGGTGTCTATCTTTTTGCGGTGAGCGTTGAATTTGGCCCAGGGTCAGGCGCCGGGCAGCTGGTGTTTGGAGGTCACCATCAAACTCCTGTCAGTTCCACCGAGGAGGGGAGGGGCAGCATGGCCACGACCTTCGCTATGGCCGAGCTGCAGAAAGGCGAGAGGGTGTGGTTTGAGTTAACCCAGGGATCAGTCATCAAGAGAAACCCACCAGGCACTGCATTCGGGGGATTCCTGATGTTCAAGACCTGAACGCCGGGCACAGCCCTGACCAGACGTCGTGGACTCACCCAGCTCTCCTTGGCCTGGAGCTCTGGCCAGGGTTGGTCTGGAGACCATCCAATTGGTCTAGTTCTTCCTGGAAAACTTCTGCAAAGACGATGCGGTATTTGGGGCCTTCCTCTAGATGCACTGGGTTTGGCTATTTCTTAATGACGAGAAGAACTGGAAGGCTTCTGTCTGGGCAGAACCTGGCCCGGGGAAGTGTGAACCTTAGCTTGGCGTGCCGTCTGAGGCAGGATGGCATTGTGGGCTTCAGCTCTTTGCCACACCCTGGGTCCTGCAGCTTCTTTGGTGTGTTGCTCCTCCTGTGGTTGGAAACTTTAGAACTTTCTCCCACTTCTTCTCCCTAATCTTATGCTAGAAAATCATTCCTCCCCTGAAGGACTATGTTTAAAATGGAGGTGACATCTTGGACAATGCTGGAAACCAGTCTCTACCCACTGCAGGGCAGTAGGAGAAAACCGACCTGTTTGGCTTCTATTAGAAATGGGGACAAAGGCCTCGTTGAGTTAACCAAAGGAAACAAAATTCTCTTTCCCTCAGGTTCGATCCTTCCTTGAATTTATCTGTAATCTTAATTCCACTTCTTTTTCTCCTTGCCTCCTGATAAAGGCCAGGACATGCCAAAACATGAACTAAAATGTGTACAGCCTTCACCCTTTTTACTTCCTCCACTCGCTGATGACCATCCTCATTCTCATGAGCATCTCTAACCAGTAAGGAGGCTGAGGGAGGGGAAGGACGATTGTCAAAATCTGCTTCGGTAACGATCAGCTCTGGAATAAAGCAATGCCCTTCAAATCTCGGCCTGGTTTATTTATGGAGAGCGGAGAGAGTCGGTAGAGGAGGTAGAAATATGGGACAAAATGAAACGATTTGGCATAAATGTGACTCTCACGACTCCAGGCTGCATTTGACTTCACAGTGCCAGTAACTTCTACATGACACGTGCCTCCACAGCGGGCAGCGGTGAGAATACTTGGTCAGACAGAAACACTTCGGAGTTGCAACTGTTCCCGCAGTATCGGGGTAGGGTTTTCAAAACATTGCAGTCCCTGGAGCAAACAGGCTTGCGAGAGCAGCCGTCTGGTGGTTAGGGCGTGTTTGTGTTGTGGTAGCCAGGTATCCCGTGTGCGTTGAACATACTCTTCTGCGTAACAAAACTGGATTGGACTGGGCAGTGAAAAAGGACAGGAGTTGGTCGTCAGGGCTCACAAGGTCTCAGCCCTTCTCCTTGTTTCCTAAGGGTCATTAATTCAAACAGTTGTCCCCCAGAACTTATTTCCCGCTAAGCTTTGTGTGCTCGATAAGCTAAAACATCAGCGTTAAAAGGAGGAGTGTGCCAGACCGCTCTGGCGCTGACAGTAAATCACCACCTCTTGAACTTTTTCCATCTGTGGTATGAGGCAGTTGGTCTCATAGCTTTCATTAAGTATCTTGGTGTTTTATTATCTTGACCACAGGGTTGACTCTGGCCTTCCTGCCCTTCCCCCCGGCCAGGGCCTCTTGCCGGCTGCAGCTCTCAGCTGCCGAGATTAATGGCAACCCAAGGCACGATGTACTGGGGCCGTTCTTGACCGAAGGTTGGAGAGCAGGTAGCCCGTCGCCCTGGCTGCTAGAAAGACCTTGCCATGTCTTCCTTCTGCTCCATCTTGCTCTTACTGGTCAAGCTGTACCGATGACTAAGTGGAGATCTGAGGGTGGTGTGGTCTTACCATCTAAGATTTTCGCTTGGAATGGCTTGCACATAATAAGCAGAGTGAATTGATCTCCATAAGGGGCACCTGCGCCCTGCTGCTCACATGGCCACTGCTTTTTTTTTTTTTTAAGATTTTATTTATTTATTTGACAGAGAGAGACAGTGAGAGCAGGAACACAAGCAGGGGGAGTGGGAGAGGGAGAAGCAGGCTTCCCGCTGAGCAGGGAGCCCGATGCGGGACTCGATCCCAGGACCCTGGGATCATGACCCAAGCCGAAGGCAGACGGCTAACGACCGAGCCACCCAGGCGCCCATGGCCACTGCTCTTAACAGGGTTATGAATGCAAGCACAACCGGTAAACTTGGCCAGCAGCGTGGACGAGTCACTCCAGAAGTTTTTGGGATGAGAACTAGAGAAACAATGGTTCTTTTAAATAGGATGCTTTCCATTCAACAAAACCAACTTCACAAAACCTTAATATCCAGTTTAAGTGCAAATTTCCTGTTTAAACACTTCTATAATGAGGACACCAGATTAACAAGAATTCTAAAGTTCACTTGACAGGTTTATCTCCACTAAGGCATCTAATATCTCTGGGTGCAGACTCTGCCAGTGCTCCCTGAATAGACCCCCGGTTACCCAGGCCAATGTTAGGACACCCTTCACTTGTGGCATCCAGAACAAGGCAATGGACTGAGCACAGAGTGGTATCATACCTCCCCAGATCTGATGGAGAAACGGATTCAAAAATGATACTGAAAAACAAAGGGTACCATAAGCCAATTTTCATAATTTCTGTAAAATGGGAAGTAGAAGGGATCAACTAACTATAAAATGAAATAGCAGCAGGAAACCATAACCCAAAACATTTGAGACTGTTGGAGATGGGAGCGATTTCAGGGGAACGCCAAGCTCAAACTCAGCCGCTAACATGCTTGGGGGGAGTGAGTGGAGGAGGAGCAGCCGAGGGGCAGCCCTAGCGGGTCCTGGCTGTCACCTGCCCCTGCTAAGTGGCTAGCAGCGGTGGCCTGTGCCCAGAGTCGGGCAGGACAGGTCCATCCTGGGCCCCCAGCTGCAGGCGGCTACGGACTCTCTGGAGGCAGGAAGCTCCCAGACGACATGGACAACCTAACCGAAGTCAGGGCCCGCGGCTGTCAGTCCAGAGGTGTGTCCCCACACACAACATAATGCCAAAGTATCACCTGACCTCTGCTTTTATTTCAGAAACAATTTGTAGTTTAGGAACATTGTGGAGAGGATATGCATGGTCTGTAAACAATGTTTCTGAAAGCTCTCCTTTCCTCTCATGCTCTGCCACTCTGCTGGTATCCCAGGACATTTGTCTTGAAAACATCCACAGCTCCAGTCCAGCTCTAGCCTGAGCAGGATTGCTCCATCCTCCTCTGTCAAGAAAGCTCCCCCAGACCTGGCCTAACAATGACAAAACTTGCTGAGGTGGCGGGGGGCGGGGAGGGGGAGGTAAATACGTGGAGTGGGAAAAGCCTGAATCCTAGGCAAGAAGAAAGGAGCACTGCTTAATTGTTCCTTTAAGAAACTGCTGTTGCCCCATCACTTCTTGATAAAAACAGGAAGCCGAGGAACACAGAACTGAGGGGAGCAGGGGTTCACCAAATACAAAGGCGAGCAACTATGCCAAAGTGCCAAACATTTGTGGAAAACTAGTGTCATGAAGAAGAGGATCCAAAACTCAAAAAACTGAACATTTTGGAATATACACATCTCTAGAAACAATACAGGAAACTGGAAATCTTACTTGCCACTTAGGTCCTGGCCTCTAAATACCATCCTTCCTGAGGGAATCAGAGAGCCTTGGAGAAATGGCTGACTCCATGGCTGGGGCAGGGAAACTACCAGATGCCCTTGGAACATCTTTTAAGTGCCAAAAAGTAAGAAGTGCTCAAGAAAAGATGAGCACGTGGAAAAAGGACTCAAGAGCCAACTTGATGAGCTTCCAGTGGCCAAGTCTGGATCAATTTGAGCATCAGAACAAATAATGACCTAATAGACTCTAACTCATTGCATAGAATAAGAATCCATGAGTTCCTACTGATAACAAAAAAATAAACAAGAGAAGACAGACCTCTCCCTTACAGAATGCCAATTAATAAATGTAGATGTAATAATGCAAGTAGAAAATCACTACTTTGTAAGCACTGATTCACATTAGAATTACCAATGGCTAGAACAGTCTCAAATTATCTCCGTAACATAGTAATTACAAAGGGTGTACCACCACTTTACAGTAAAGAAACGTTTCACCTTGAACAAGGGATTGACAGTGATTAATTAATAATGGGACATCATTAATAATGAGACATGCGCCATGGCGTCCCAATGGGATGCCCTGAGGACACAAGTATGTCCACAGAAACTCTGGCCTTTCACTCTAGAAAATGTATCACAAAAAAAACAAACTGGAGAACTGTTTCAGATTAAAGAATGAGACATGACAACTAAATGCAATGCAAGATCCCTGACAGACTCTGGACCTGGGAAATGTGCTCTCAACGACTTTATTAGAACTGGGAAAGGTCTGCAGAGTATGGTATTGCCAATGATTGTTATGGTATCAATGTCAACTTTTCTGATTTTGGAAAATCATATGTAACTGGTTTTGTAATGGAATATCCCTGAAGTACTTAGAGGCACGAGCTCTGTAATCCAAGTAGTTCAGAAGTGGTTATGTGCGTGTGCTCAAACATTCCAACACCGCGCCTTTATAATTCTTATACACACACACAAGCAAGGCAGTTGTGGCAAAATGTAATAGTTGATGAATCTGGGTGAAGTGTAAATGGCATTTTTTGTACTTTTCACAACTTTTCTGGAATTTTGAAATTATTTCCAAATAAAAAAAAATTTGGTTGAAATAAACTTAGTAAATGGGCTGAAAAGCAGACGGTAAGACAGATCAGATAACAGACATGTTAAGAAATATGGAAGAAACACCCAGGGGACCTACTATTCATCTCATAGGAATTCTAGAAAGAGTAAAGTAAAAGAACGGAAGGGAGGAAATAAATAGTGGAAATTCCCAGGTTCAAGGAAAGGTTAAAAGTACCCAATCAGTACTAACACAAAGAATACATCTAGACATGGCAAGCTAAACTTCAAAACATCAAAAAGAAAAAGAAAATCCCGTTTTGTTTTTAAGATTTGAGAGAGAGAGCGCACCATCGCAGGAGTGTGCACAAGCGGGGAGGGCGGAGGGGCAGAGGGAGAGAGTCTGAAGCAGACCGCCGAGCACTGAATCCGACGTGGGTCTCGATCTCACAACCTGAGCTGAAACCAAGAGTAAGATGCTCAACCGACTGTGCCACCCAGGCACTCTGAAAATTGTTTCTTGAATGAAAAAAATAAGTTAAATGACAAAGGATTGAATTAGACACACATCAGGCTTCTTACTGGCAACAGGGATCCTGGAAATATCTTCTGTTAGATTCGATCTCCACCCAGTCTAGCCAAGAATGAAGACAGAATCAAATAGTAAGTTTTATTTTTAGGTGTTTGATTGAAATGCCTTCCATTGCAGTATTATTTGTGCCGCAGCCTTTCGGTTCTTTCTTTTTAATGTCTTTCAACGTCTTCTTGGATTTGAGTCCTGCAGCAGAGCGACAGAGAACAGAACGGCAGGTGCACTTCATCACCCTGTCATCAGCCAGATTTTAACTTTGCTTTACAGATGGCTCCCCTCTCATCAACGAAGGCCCTAGTCCTTTCTTCCTCTAGCCTGAAAATACTTGCAACATGAGCATTTTATACCGACTTTTGACTTTTGAATAATGGTAACATTTCCGGTTCCCTATATAAAATTTACGATACGGGAAGCGAGGTGGAGGGAGGAAGCAGCATCTAGAATCACCGTGAACTTCGTTCTGAAAATACATAGGACACTTCAGTGTAAAAGTGATGAGACAAAGGCCAAGAAGATACAGTTCAGAGGAGTTACAGGTAGGCCACATGTTTTCCACCTAAAAACGAGAATCACAATCTCCACCTCCAAGGGCAATCACGGATGAACCTTTCAGCCCTAGCCTCTGCTTCTAGCGGACATATTTTGCGTGTGTACCTTTGCGCCTGAACTAAGTCTCCTCCTTCTGATTTCCAGCTTTCGTTCGGGAGACGTGCCTGTTTCTGCTCTTGCCCTGAGCTCGCAGTATTTAACTCCCTATGACCAGTAGGGGGCCGCTACCATTAAGTGGCCTCTCTGAACACGACCGACTGGCCACCTTCAGTGCGCCGTGTCCACTTGGTCGGGTACTGCCCTGAGGGCTGAAGCAAGGCTTTCTAGGAACATGCATCTAACTTTAGTGCCAGAAAAGGTCCGTGCACTAGCAGCAGGGAGACAGTTCTCCAAGTGAATGAAGATTTAATGTCTAAATTAGCATCTGCCTGAAATTACCTACAAGAATTAGATTATTCTGGAAGAACAGTGTCCTCATTTCTTAATGTCTTCTCTACTAATACTACTAATAATATTAAAGAAACCTTGGAAATTGTCACTATTCCAACCAGTCAGTGAGAGTAACAGATTATGCTGGGAAGGAAAAATGAATATATTGATCCAGGTTTGGGGTCAACCTTTTACAGACAGAAGGAAAGCTACAAGTATTTGACAGGCCCAGGAAATCCCTGATTCTTTACCAAGCTGCACTGAGTGTGCATGCTCTTCTTTCAAGAAACCATCTTACGGGACACTAAACAGGGGTTCCTGTGAAGAATCTCTAACAAGCTATTCCCAAACATGCATTTTTCGGGGGGGAGACATCAACTAGTCCCAAATCTTTTATGATGATTTAGTATGTCCAGCTGCCTAAGGCATCCCAAGGTTTGCTGACGGAGTGAATAGACACACAACCGGAAACAGCTCTGATAGGTGCTGATACTAAGTGCAGGAGGGGAGAGGATACTGTTGCAGAACAGAGGGCAAGCTACCTTCCGCCCTGAAGTTTCAGCTTTTCACAAAGTATTTGCTGCAGCAGGAACACAGTAAAGCTGGATAAATGGATTCCATGACGATAAGTAACAGAAACCAGGCGCTATGCTAGCAGAGAGAGAAGGAAATTGGAAGCAATGACCTGTCCAAGTCATGAGATGAACACTCTTGACACGAGTAGGAGTGTGCAAGAGAAACCCTCTGGGCAGTAATACAGCCACACTTAGCAAGAACCTTAGACTATTTTTCATCTTAAATAATCTTAAAAGTTCCTGTCCACTAGTCCCACTTTCAGGAATGTAATCTAAGACAATAAATTTATGATTTAAAAGATTTATGTACAAGGGGGGCGCCTGGGTGGCTCAGTTGGTTGGGCGACTGCCTTCGGCTCGGGTCATGATCCTGGAGGCCCGGGATCGAGTCCCACATCGGGCTCCCTGCTCGGCGGGGAGTCTGCTTCTCCCTCTGACCCTCTTCCCTCTCGTGCTCTCTATCTCTCATTCTCTCTCTCTCACATAAATAAAATCTTTAAAAAAAAAGATTTATGTACAAGGATGTTCAATACGTTCATTATATTTTTTAAAACAATGGAAATAACCCAAATATTCAATAGGGAATTACAAAAATAAATTATTCCATCCACTTGGTAAGATATTATGTAGTTAAGATTTTGAAGTTACATTCTCCATGGATATTAATGACATACTATGATCTCAAATTTTGTAAAAAAAAAAAAATATGCAGGAAAAAAAGATTGAAAAGCAACATTCAAATGTAAATAGGGATACATGTGGCAATAGAATTGTGATTTTATTTGCTTTATTCTTTCCTGTGTTTTCTAAAATTTCTGCAATGAGTACATATTTTTAGAATCAGAATTTTTTTTTAGGGGCGCCTGGGTGGCTCAGTTGCTAAGCGTCTGCCTTCGGCTCAGGTCATGATCCCGGGTCCTGGGATCGAGCCCCACGTTGGGTTCCCTGCTCCGTGGGAAGCCTGCTTCTCCCTCTCCCACTCCCCCTGCTTGTGCTCCCTCTCTTGCTTTGTCTCTCTCTGTCAAATAAATAAAATCTTTAAAAAAAGAATTTTTTTTTAAAGGGAAACAACCCTTCACTGTAATGGGTTTTCAACTGCTCTATGTACACAAAGGAAAGAGTGTGTGGTCACTTACCTGCCTTGTGTTCCACACTTGATTTCCAGTAGCTTGAGATGCACATCTCAGGGATGCTTGTATATATACTTACTTATCTGTCATAAAATCTCACCAGACATGTGACTTCTGATACACAATACAGTCCGAGTAGAGTATCACAAAACACATCACTAAAGTATACTAAAATAAGGTTATTTACTTAAAAATGATACATTGGATGTAATCTATATATAGAACAAAGCAATTAATGGTAAACTTAATAAGGCACCTTTTAAACCAGATGCTGTACAAAATACATTTAGTGTGTTACATATCAAAGATGAATCTATATTTTTGGTGTTTTACAATTGCATAATAAAATTGTTTGTTTTTAACCCTTCTTTCAATGTCTATGTACAACTTCCCTAATTAAGCTATAATGATATTTTCATTTTATACAACATATACTACATTTTAGTTTTTAAATGGGCAAGGACAATGGTCACTAAAAGGGCTTAAATAATTCCACTGAAAGCATAGTATAGTACAGAGCACGAGCTAAAATTACAATAATATATTTAATCCTTTGCAAAAGCAGTATTCACATACTTTCCTTATGGGATGATCATTACATGTGGCTTTGTATGCTGCTGCCCGAGATTTAATTCAGTTTTTATGAACATGTCAGTTCTCTGCAGTTTTCACTGTGACTCTCATAAATAGCACTAAGGCAAGAGGATGAACTGCTACCCTATTTTAACACCTGACCGAAACAAATAATAAATACTACCCTCTAAACAGTACAAGAGCTACAACAATCTTTTTAAAAAAATCAATTAGTATTTCTGTTGAGATTATTTTAGATGTTTGCAACATTTCCAAACAACGTGTACGCAAAGAAACACAAGTGATTTAATTTATAAAATCTTGCCTGGAATAAATCATTCATTATCAAATTTGATCTTGGGCCAGTTTAAGAGATACAGGATTCTTTAAAAGTTGTGTTACATTTTTGTTCTAAACAGAAGAAAAGCATATGAAAGAGAAAGGTACTGAGTATTTTAGAGTGAATAAATAAAAAATCTGGCCTATTCTAGGAGAACATAATTTTCAAAAACTATAGGCCACTTTCTAAGTTTAGGGACACTTCCAGACATCGGAAATGCAACATAAAATGTTGACTGAAAGATCTTCTGTGAAAACATTTCCAGAGAAATTAGATTCAAATTTTGTACTTCAGAAATTTGTTCAAAAGAAAGCACAGGGAAAGCTCAGAATGAATGCACTGAGGCGGATCCTGGTGTGCCTTTAATTCTGGAGGTATTTACCAGTATAAAGGGAATTCAGTAAAAGGAATTTTCTTTGAGGGCTAACTTCTATTGTATTCAGGTTGCTTTGGGTTTTTGCTTGTTTTTATGTTTTACTCATTTAAAAGGATGACAGACAGAAGCCACACATTTTTAAAATTTTTAAATTTAAAATTTTTTAAATTTAAAATTTTAAAATTGTAAGTGGGGCCAAATAATGGCTTCTAGGGTTTTACAAATTATTAACTCTAAGGTACGATGTAATACTTCCTCAGTCTTAAATATTTCACTTACTGGATGAACTCAGAAATTTAACAGCAAGAGTAAGGAGAAGAAAATAAGTTTCATGCATATTTTTTTTGGACTTTGGGATTTCAAAATGGCATCATTTGCTTTTTAAAGAACATGCTACCTTAGAAAATATTTTTATTGAACAAGTTGCTAAAGTTAATTCTTGATACTACTCTTATTAGATGTATTTAAAAAAATCAATATAGTGGTCTTGTACTTATATACTACCTGTAATTGTCTGCCTCCACCCACTATTTCAACATTTTTAAGAATAGAGTTTGCCTTTCTTTACATATGTTCTTTGTTAGTAAGATGACAAATAATGTTCAGGATTTATAGTTTAACCAATAAAAAATAAAGCAAGATTAACCTTAGATTAAAATCAGAGCTCAGAAGTGTTCTTAAGTCACAAGGCAACATGGATTAGAATCTCTCTCAGTATAGGGAAGGACATTCTGAAAGAACATGTTATTGGGTATTATCAATACGCACATTTACTTATTTTTGTGAACACTTCAAATTTTAATTATGTTAGATGAAAATTACTAAACTTAGTCAAAACTATTAAAGCAGATTCCAAATTTGTTAAGTTTGATGTATAAATACGTAAGAGTTTCATCCTTAAATGCCAGTCAGATTTTTGGTAATGGATGGATACATGCCCTGATTCCTCCCCTTTAAAGACTTTTAAAGAAGTTGTGATGTAATCACATTTATTTTATGTTACAGTCAAAGAAAACTATTTCACTTTATGCACCCATGAGTTGTTTACTCAGGATAAGACAATACTTAAAAGGCATTGGAGAAGTTTAAGTAAATCAGAATTATTCCTTGGGATAACAAGGCATCCATAAAATATGTAGCATTTTATTGAGTAACAGCTATATGGTATAGATACAGGTAATGAGTAGATACTGAACTTTTTTGCCTGACTCTTCATTGTCTTCACAAGTTATGGAACAGAAATCATAAAACCAAAAATCTCAAATGATTTAAACGCCCCAAACATCTGTTGATAAGTTTATATCAGCTCTGAAACAGAAACTTCTAATTGGAGGATCCTTTCATAAAGAAAAATTGAGATGACAGCATCTTAATGAAAGTATATGCTTAGATAACAAAGTCCTAGATTTGATACACTACTTTGAATGCATTAATTCTGACAATTTACAAGTAGTTCTATGTTATAACATTTTTTTCTGATGATCTTTTAATTTTCTTCCCTTAAGAATGGGATATGAGGTACACATGAGAGCTGGTTTCTACAGTATGAATGTATGTACATATATAAAATATGGTTGTAGAGGTGTTTTGCAAATAAAGCATATTACACACAAAATATAAATAACTTCCCTTTTAAAAGTTACTGAGAATAAAGAATATAGAACATGATTATAGGCACTTACATTGCTATCAAATGCAGTAATTAGTAATTCACTTCAATAAGAAGTGTTTTCTTTAGAAGGTTCATGGCATTGGAAGTTCCAACTTTGGATAAGATGCTTTTCATGACAAAAGTAAGAATTACCGAAAAGAAAGAAAGAGAAGGAAGGGGTGGGGGGAGAGGAAGGGGAGGGAGGAAGGAAGAAAAAGATGGTGATGAAAGGAAAACAGTCCAAATTTACAGACACTTTAAACTTCTTTTGGCCTTTATATCAACTTTTATGTTAAAAAATAAAGTTGGCAGAGAAGCTAGCTCACTTGCAAGGTAAATAAATGGTTTTTATGTGATTGGAGAATCTTGGTCAGATAATGCATTTTTAAAGCACAAAACCACCAGCCACCAGCATCTTCCTGTGCATTCATAAATCATTTTCTTCTAATTCAAATGGCAGCAGAGGAATCCTGGTGTGTGCGTGTGTGTGTACACACACAGACCAATATCAAAGCCTGTCAAACTATCAAGCTACTGTATCCCAAACAGATCATAATCCATAGGCTGTTTACAAAGGTGGAATACAAATAGATTAATTTTCCTCAGGTAGAAGGCAAGGGTGTGTATTTCTCCATCTCTGCTGAATTCATTTATCTTCTTAAGGCTTTCACAGAAAGCACCATTTTATGAATAGGGAATTCAGTACCCAGAGTCTGACTGAAGACTTATTAATAATCAGGATTGAAGTCTTGATGCAGTTCATAAAAACCCAATAAAAAAAAAAAGGCATCAAAAACCACATTTAAAATAAAGCTGTCCATATATAAAGAACAAAGTGTTTAGAAGTTCCCAGCTTGTTATTCTACAGAGTACTGAAAGGTTTAGTATTAGCAGCCTGTGAAGGTGTGGTGAGGAGAGAGTCTGAGAACCAAGTCAGCATCCGTATTCTACTCTAACTCCACCTGCTCCTTGGGTGAAAACAATTCTTGCAGTCTAGAATTGCTCCTCATGACTGTTTTCACCGTCAAATCTTTACATCCTGGGATTCAACCATCTTGGCAAGTGTCTTCTTGATTCTCAGAGCTGTAAGTCTGGAGGCTGGATTGTGGGCCCAGCATTCTGACATGAGCTTCAGAACTGCTCGTAGACACTGAAAAGTAAAGAGAATATAGTGAGCACATAAAGATCTTTGACGACACTTACCAATCACCTCCTCAGGGGACGGAGCTCTACTTACTTCATCACTGTTCCATCGATTGGACACAATTGGCCGCAAACGCTTCACACACACAACTTCACGCATATCTTCGTATGACGGATCATTGGGCACCATATTGTAATATGGCAACTGGTACTCTTCTACTATCCCTATAGGGAGTGAGAAAACACAGTGGGCGCAAAAATGGCTGGACAAAATATATCAACCTACTCAGCACCTCTTACTGAACTATGGGAGATAAAATGGATTCCTACATAAAGAAGAGAATTATAGAGTGAATGATTCACTTTTAATAGTAAATGTGTTTTCTTCTCTTTTTCTATGCCTAAATATTTCCTCTACCTCCATCAGGGTCCCCATCATACCTGTGGACATACCTATATCCCTTAAGAAAAGTAAGGTGAAGCACTCATTTACCTTCAATTTTTATTTATGTATTTATTTTGCGTGTACACATGCGTGTGCGCGCGCGAGAGCAAGCAAGCCAAGGAGGGGCAGAGGGAGAGGGAGAATCTTAAGCAGGCTCCATGCTCAGCACGGAGCCAGATGTGGGGCTTGATCTCCCAACCTTGAGATCATGACCTGAGCTGAAACCAAGAGCCGGTCACTTACCCAACTAAGCCAGCCAGGCACCCCTTCGATTTTTAATTTGATTACTTATATACATAATTGTTCTTATTAACGAATGTGGCTTTTGTTTTTTGTTTTGTCTTATTTCCTTCTGCGCAGAAAGACCAACATGATATGCAGAAAAAAGTTAACGCAGCAGGCTGGAGACTGCTATCCTCTGAAAAGGCCTGCTTGCAGGGTTGGCGCTGGGCCGGTATCTGGGAACTTGCTGGGTTAACAATTCCCTACACACTCATATAAAACTCTCCCTAAATGATAAGGGTCACTCACTGTGTGCCTTGACTATTTGTACAAACAGTATTGGTTTATGCTGAACACCTGCTCTCTTTCTAGGAGTTCGGAATTCTGGTACATGCTAGGCAGAGGGTGCCCATGTGACCAGCTCCAAAAATATCTTTGGCTACTAGGTCTCTAATGAACTTTCCTAGATGACAATATTTCACATGTTGTCATAACTCACTGCTGGAGGACTTAAGCACATCCTGTGTGACTCCACTGGGAGAGGACTTCTGGAAGCCTGTGCCTGATTTCCTCTGAACTTTGCTCCATGCACCATTTCCCTTGGCTGATTTTATCTGTATCCTTGCACTGTAATAAATCTTAGCTGTGAGGACAACTATATGCTGAATCCTGTGTGTCCTTGTAGTGAAATCAAAGAACCTGGGAGTGGCCTTGGGAATCCCTGACATATATGACATCTAAATTATATAAATGAAGCTGTTACTTTTTTTGAATAATGAGGCTACAAACATAACTGGAAACCTACTACCTAAAGTCTTACCTCCTGTGATACAACGACGAGCCATTTCCCAAATGATCAGGCCAAAGCTATAGATGTCGGCCATTATGTAGGGCTGGAAATGGTTTTTATTCAAGCTCTCGTCTAGCACTTCTGGAGCCATGTAGCGTTTGGTACCCACCCTGGTGTTTAAGGGTACGTCAACCTCATTTGTGTCGCTAAAACAGAAGACAGTGTTCAGGTTGAGGGCCAGGAACAAAATAGTTTATCTTGCATTTGTGTCTCATTTTGTAAGTCAGACTCTTCCCTCCGTGTGTACATACACACACACACACACACAAAACACATAAATATATAAAAAAATAAGATTAAAAAAAAATCTATCTAACCTACTAATCTTATATCAACATTCCCTTAACAGAATTCCTTATGACTGGATAAGATTTTAAAATTTAGCATTTCCCAGATTTTAGAAAAGTAATATACCCTTTAAATACATGTTACGTATTACACAAAACCCCAGGAGGGTCTGGGGCGGCACTCAATCAGAATCATTACTGTCTGCAGTGAAAAGTTAAGTATGAATATTCATATTATCCTGGATAAAGACAATAAACATCTCACATCAGTTCAAGTTTCGTCACCAAACAAATTTAGTGCCTCTCTAAGAAAAAGAACAGTACTGAATATAAGAAAGAGCAGTAGATAATTAACGTCCCAGAACAAGCGAATGTAAAAATAAGCTGAGAGGAATCAATGCTTTTACTGTTCTCACGTGATAAACTCAGCGTTTGTGACACAAACACTTTCTTTTTGGGTCCAACTTAGTTCTAGTGTGAGTAATGTTTACATAATCATATTGACAATCAGTAATAAATGATGTTTATTGGTTTTTCAATTTTGGGACTAAATTTTAGAGTTGGAAGACATAAATGCTTTTGTTGTTTAGGCCCCCAATTCTGGCAGGTTCTGGAAACTACTCCGAAGCCAAGATTAATATAACATATTTTGGATTTTATTAAACAGTACCTGATGAGTATTTGAGCCAATAAACACCACAATGATAAAGAACCACAGGATCAGAACACTGTAACAACTAGGGAAGAAGATTTAAATTTTAACATTTGCTTTTTTATGGACTAGTACTTTTATTTTATAACCTGAAAATGAATTCTGAAATGTAAACTGGCTGCTGTATCCTAGAGTTGTAACAATATTAAAACAGTTTCAGTAGTTACCTAAAATTCTGATAATGCTATTTTAAAAATATCGACAATTTCAAGTGGTGATGGAGAAATGGCATAACTTCTAACTCTGTTTATGGGACTGTAAACTGACGAACGCTTCCTAAAGGAAGAGCTTGCAATTATACTATACTTTAATAGGCACATACTCTGTTTAGCCCCTTCTCTAGGAATCCACCACAAACAAATACTTACACAAGCAGTCAAGGATATTACATATGGGTAAAATACAATTAAAGCATTTTTTTAAATAATAAAGTAGAGATAACTTTAATGCCCATCAGCTGGGTCATAGATGAAATGAATTATAGTACATCCACATAATGGAAAACTGCATCAACGTTGTTAAAAAGAAAGAAGCAAATCTATATAAATTGCAATAGAATGATGTCGAAGACAATAAAAAGCAGGAAATCAGGAACTATGTAGAGTAGGTTGTAATTTTTTAAAAACAAAACAAAACAAAACAGAAAACCCAGAGAAACAGAACACCAAGACAGAAAATCCCAATTATTTATTTATATAACCAGATAAGCCCAAATACATGTTTGGAATTCCACTATCTTGAATCCAAATAGGCAAATATCTTTTGGAGGTTACAATGATTTCAAAACACAGGCAAAGAACTGCTTACCTATTGAATTTAACAGCAAGGCCCAGGTCAGCAATACAGCAACTTCCATTTCTCTTAATGAGGATGTTTTTGCTCTTTAGGTCTCGATGAGCAATCGCAGGCTTTCCTTGGGTGCCATAAATTTCAGTGTGGAGATGGCACAGACCACAGGCAGCTGAATAAGCCAACTTGAGCAGGGCTCTGGTGTCTAGTGTAGCGCATTTCAGGAAATCATAGAGAGATCCATTTTCATGGTAATCAGTAATCAAATAGAGCTGAGTCCAGGAACCTGTACCTTTAATGTCTGCCGCTATGAAACCTGTTCAATTAATGGGTTTAAAGGGTTAGTTATTATAAATGGGTAAGAAGAATAATGAATGCTCATTTAGGATACTGAGAATAACTTGGGTATCTTGTACAGATAATAAAAATTTAATTTGCCTAGCAAGATCTCTTGAATTTGTACCATTCTTTCCTACCATTTTCACAGATAACTCTACATTTCTGCAATATATTTAAAATAATCTTAATGATAATCATGAAAATGACAATCATATGACTAAGGAAAAGATCACATATCAGAAAATAACCTGGGGAAATGCTATCCATCTCCATGATTCTCTAAGCATGAAGAACTGTAAGAAGAAGGAGTGTGGAAAAGCTCTCAATTTCAAATTGAAAAGTGGACACATTAAAATAATAAAGTTAAAATGTTCAACCACGAGTTTGCTCCTAAGCCAGCTCCCATTTGCCCATCAAGCCTATCTATCTGGCTCACTGATAAGCGGGGCAATGATACCGGCCTCCTTTCTTTCTTTTTCTTGTCCCCTTTCCCTTCAGAAGAAGGTGAGTGAGTGCTGGCTTGAATAGTGCGCACCCCCCACTCCATGCCAATTCACGTCCACTTGGTACTGGTATATGTGACCTTATTTGGAACAGGGTCTTTGTAGATGTAACCAAGTTCAGAGAAGGTCAATACTAGATTCAAGTGGGTCCTGATTCAATGACCAGTATCCTTACAAGAGGGCAATGTGGACATACAAGGGAGAAGGCCATGTGACAACAGAGGGTAAGAGTGCTATCTCCAAGCCAAGAAGTGCCAAAAATTGCTGACAGTTACCGGAAGCTGGGAGGAGGTAAGGAAGAGGCCCTTCCTAGAGCCTTCAGAGAGCACGGCCCTGCCGACACCCTCCTTTTAAACTTCTGGCTTCCACAACTCCGGGAAAATAAATTTCTGTTGTTTTAAGCCACCCAGTTTGTGGTAATTTGTTGTGACAGCCCTTAGGAAACTAACAGTTAAGTGTCTGGAATACTTGTGGCAACGTGCTATGCTCTCTCTAAATTAAAGGGTAGGGAAATAGTAGCTGAAAAGTCAGGAAAGCTAGAGGAGTTTCTGCACCCTACTAATCAGATCATACATAAATTATTTTTCTATTTTGTAAATGAAGGTGGGGGGGTTGGTTTATAAAAGGCAAAGGGCACATATAGTTAAAGTTACACTAGAAAATTGCTTAAATTACCTTTAAAAAAACTTGGGCTGTGTTACTATATGAGTAAGTCCAACAAACTAGCACTACTTCGAATTTGAAACTCCCTATTGTTTTCCTAGTTGGAGAGTAAATAAAGTGGTTGGTGGGCATTCAGGATTGTTTTGGAATTAAACCGTGTATTCTCGTGGGTTTCCTTTAGCCAGATGCACATAATGGGATTCACGTATGTTTTCAAAGTCCGTGTGGCAGGCTTCCACTGCACCCCACTAACCCTGTCAGAATATGGAATCGGGCGAAACCAAACGTGTACCCACCAAGTATGTTTTCGTGGCGCATCAGCACAGTCTGATAGATTTCCGTTTCTCGAAACCAGCTAGCTTCTTCAGTGGTAAAAAACACTTTGACTGCCACCTTTTCACCACGCCATTTACCCATCCACACTTCTCCATACCGGCCTTTACCAACTTGCCGAACCATCTGAATCTGTTTGGCAATAGTTCGCTGAACCTTCACGATAAAAGCAGAATGTTTGTGGAGTTCTTGATGAAAAGAACTGGCTAAGACTGAGAAAGTGGCCCGATAGCCTGTCCCATCAAAAAGGACGGGATGTACAACCAACCCACCCCAATGGTGGAATTTATAAAGGATTTAAAAGAAGATGAAACAACATACAACATACATTGTGAAATCGCACACTAACGGGTTAGGTGACATGACAGATTGTTTGCAGAAATGGTCAACATAATTCTGTTCCCAGTCCCAGTCCACACCCTTGGGTAGTCTCCTCTGCAGACTCTGGGCGTGGCCACAGGATTTGCTTTTGGCAATGGAACAACCGCAGATGTGATGCAAGTAGAGACTTGAAAAGTGTTTGTGCTCCAGGGCTTGCCCTTCCTTGCTATTCCGGAGAACTCTATGAGGGGTGGAAAAACCCTGGGAGCCCCTGGCCCTGTCCGTGAACTATATCATTTAATTCTCTAGCTGAGCAGGTCCAGAAAAGGAACTGCCCAGCAGATCCACAGAATCATGAGAGATAATAAATGTTTGTTGCTTCAAGCCACTAAGTTTAGGGATGCTTTGTTATGCAGCCAAATCTAAATGTTAGTTACAAATCTTCCACTCAAGTCATTAAGACCCTACATGATCTGGCCCCTGCCTGACTTTGCGCCTCATCATTTGCTCTCATGACCCACCTCTTACTCCCCTTACTTCAGCTTTTAGAATTCATTCCTGCATATTCCTGTCTCAGAGTCTTTCTGCATGTGCAGTTCCCTTTACTTAAAAGGGTCGTTTCTCTGTGAAACAGCTTCATAGCACACGTATACCTCTCAGCTGCTGCACTTATCACAATTACAATTTTATTATTATTTATATATGGATTTGTTTGAATTCTATTCCTTCCTACTCACAGAATATAGGGATTTGTTTAGGGGAACACTTGAAATATAGTAAGTGCTTTCATTAATTTTTGTTGACTCAAAGATGCACATTAATTGCTACCTTTCATTTTCAGAAGCACTAATGGCCATTCTAAATATTAAAAAGAACCCTAAGGTCCTGGCTGGAAATGCAGTTAAAATGAATTACATTTTGTGCATACCTAAACTGACTTACTTTATGGATCAGTTATTTCAGAATCCTTTTGTAATTTTTAAAGAAGTCAGGATTATTGAGGTATAAGTTACATACAACAAAATCCACTCTTTTTGAGAACTGTTTGACGAGTGTATACAGTCATACAACCATCACCACAATTAAGATAGAGAACGTTCCCATCACCCAAGAAAGTTCCCTCTTGCCTCTTTAAAGTCAATCCCCTCCCCACCCACCCCCAGGCCCTGGCATCACTGATCTGTTTTCTTTTCCTACAGTTTGATCTTTTCTGGAATATCACATAAGTGAAAACATACAATATGCAGTCTTTTGTGTCTAGTTTCTTTCGCTTAGCATAAAACACTTCAAAATCCATTTGTATTGTTGTTGCCTGTATCAGTAGTTCCTTTTTTATTGATGAGGAATGTTCCACTGTATGAATGTACCATGACCTGTTTATCCATTTACCAAATGATGGACTTTTGGGTTGTTGACAATTTATGTCTTACGAATAAAGCTGCTGTGAACGTTCACATTCAGGTCTTTGTGTGGGCATGTCTGCAGATCTCTTCGGTGAATACTTAGCGGAAGAACTGCTTCACCGTATAGAAAGTATATGCTTAACCTTTTCAGTCAACTGTCAACCCGCTTCCCAAAGTGACTGAAATGTTTTCATTTCAATCAGCAATGTACGAGATTTCTAGTTGATCTGTACTCTTTTCCGCACTTAATATTCTCAGTCTTAGTCATGCTAGTGGATGTGCAGTATCTCACTTTAATGTTTAACTTGCAATTCCCTGCCTTTTCTTGTGCTTATCTGCCGCAATTCCTTTCTCTTCTTTTGGGAAGTATCTGTTCAAATCTTTTGTCCATTTTAAAAAATGGGGTTGTCTTACTACTGAATTGTAGACATTCTTTCAGATCTGTGTTGCCAGTTTGTGACTTATTTTTTCCTTTGCTTAAGCTAAGTGTCTTCTGAAAAGGAAAAGTTTCAAATTTTAAAAAAGCCTAATTTATCATTTTAAAAAATTATTCATGCCTTTTGTGTCCTAAGAAACCTTTGCCTAACCCAAGGTCACAATGATTTCCTAAAACATTTTCTTTTAAAGGTTTTTAGACTTTAAATTTTACATTTTACATTTAGGTCTATGGTCCATTTCAAGGTAATTTCATATTTGGAGATAAGGGTCGAGATACACATTTTGGGAAATGGATGCTCAATCTTCCCTGCACCATTTGTGGAACAGACGGTCTTCTCCCCACCGAATGACTCTGGCACCCAAATCAAGTGACATTTGTGTCCATTTCTGTGCCCTCTATTCTCTTCCACTGAAACACACTTATCCTTATCCTTAAGGACCACACTAAGCTGATTACTGTAGCTTTACAGTAGGTCCAGAAAGCAGGCAGTGAATCTTTTGTTCTTTTTCAAAAGTGTTTTGGCTCTTCTTTGCATTTCCATATAAATGTTAGTCAGTTTATCAATTTCTACAAACGTTTGCTCTGATTTTGGACTGAATGGAACTATAAGTCAACTTAGGATAACTGAAATTTTAATACTGAGTCTACTGAGTCAAAAACAGGATATATATCTCCCCTTATTTAGGGCTCTGTTAATTTCTCTTGGCAGTGTTTTCTAATTTTCAGTGCTCAGGTCTTACATAAATTTTGTTAAGCTTATTCTAAAATATTTGATGTTTTTTGAAGCTATTTTAAATGGTACTGCTTTTAACATTTTAATTCCTAACTGCTCATTGCCAGTGTACCTATATTCAATGATTTCTGTGTAGTGACCTTATATTTTACAACCCTGATAAACTCACTTGCTGGTTGTTACAGCTTTATGGTATCATCCTTAAAATTTTTCTTTGTAGATAATCACGCTGTCTGCACATGAAGAGAGTTTTACTTTAACCTTTCCAATTCAATTACAGAATTATTTAATTCAATAAATTAAAAAATTAGAGATCAATGTACTTACTTTAAACAAATGCAATTAAACAATTAAAATATGTCCGGATATCTAGTATTTATTAATTTGAAATAGTTATACTTCTCTCAACTAGTGTATTTAATCTTAGGTAAAGGAATTTATATCTGACTCCTCTTTAAAAGTTGGCTGTTAAAAGCAAAACTTATGAGCTAACTCTAGCACTTATACAGAACTTCATGATCACATTTTCTTTCTTAACTCTGCTTGTGGCTCTATCTTACTGCCTATTCTATTCTTCTTGTCTCACAGTTCTTACTTTTAACCGATTTCTTCTTGCATGACTGCAGCCATCTTTCTAAATAAGAAGGAAGAAAAAAAAAAAGGACCTACTGCAAACCTAGTAATGTTCCCTAATCTGTAACAATCACGCTACCTACCATCATATAAGGACACAATCTGTACCAATAAACCACTCATGTCTATATGACATTTTATCTTACCAATAAAGGTAGTCCGGATCCACTACCAGAACTCTGTGACTGGTCAATGAGGTCTTTTAATGATTCTCCGACTGGAATAAATGCTTCATCTTGTTCCAAATCACGATTATAACGACGTCTGCTTGAGATGCTCTTGCAATAATGTCTTTTAAAAAAGCAGAAAATAACCTACATTAAAATTCCCAAACTACAAAGTTCTAGGGTAAGAAAAATCTTGAGGTTGTCGACACCATCATCCTTCCTTCAGATAGAGTCACATCCAAATTAGTCTTACAGGATAATATCTCCTCTGTTAAAGTAATATCTAGGAATGGAGTTTATGAGGTAGTTCCACGTACATGTTAAAATGGAAAGATGTCCACAGTGCATTGGCTAGTGAAAAAAAAAACAGATTAAAAACAGCACGCAGAGTGTGATCCTAGCTATACAATTTTTAAAAAATTATATATATCTACATATGTCTAAAAAGATCAGAAGAGATATATAACAAGTTGTAAATAGTAGTTATTTCTGGGCATGTTGGAGTACCCACCTTCTACTTTACATAAGCATTCTCGTTTGAATTTGTCAGTATTTTGAATTTTGTTGTATCAAAATGAACAATGAATATAGTTCCATTTTAAAAAAGGGAAAAGGAGCTGATGCAAAGAAATCAAACAAGTTCTCTGAACTCATTCTGACAGTTTTTTTTAATAAAGATTTTATTTATTTGACAGAGAGAGATAGCGAGAAAGGGAACACAAGCAGCGGGAGTGGGAGAGGGAGAAGGAGACCTCCCGCCAAGCAGGGAGCCCGATGTGGGACTCGATCCCAGGACCCCAGGACCATGACCTGAGATGATGGCAGACGTCTAATGACTGAGCCACCCAGGCGCCCTCATTCTGACAGTTTTGAAGGTTCATTTTACAATTTCAAATTATGAAATACTTCAAACATACAGGAAAGTAGAGATTTAACTGCAACCCATGTGAAGACCATTAACTGAATAGACATTAACATTATATTTATTTTAAAGACAAAACATTAGAAATATTTGAAGCTCCTGCCATTTCCCTGATAATTCCATTTCCTTCCTTTACTCCTCAGAAACAAACACTATCCTGAAAGGTGATATGTCCTTCTTATTTGAATATATTCATAAACAACACTGTTTCTCTGGATACAAAGTGACTTGAATGGCATATGCTGTATTACTACTTGATATCTTGCTTAAAAGAAAAAAACAACTTCCTTATGTTTTACGTATTTATCCATGCTGATACCTGTTTAAAAACAACAGCTCATTTTTATTGATGCTGAGTGTGTCATGCATTGTTCTAGGACTCACTTCCTCTTCATAAAACTCCTAAGAGGTGAATACTATTGCTCCTATTTCACAGACCAGGAAACCATGACCCAAAGGTTCATCATTTGACACCACCAAGTGGTGAAGCTGGGATCCAAACCCAGAGGCCTGGGCCTGGGAGCCACAGTCTCAGTCACTACTATTCTGCCAGGGAAATGATTTAAATGGTACCTCGGGTTCTTGTGAGGAATTTACCACAATTTACTCTGACGGTCATATTTGTTAATTCCAAAAGTTTGTTAATACAAATAGTAATGCAAAAAATATTTTTGTGCCAGGCTCTTGTGCAGGAGTATAAGAATTTCTCAAAGGTACATACACTTTCAATTTTAGTGATATCACTTAATTGCTCTCCAAAGTGGAATAATATGTAAAGTATAATAATAATAATATTATGCTATAAAATATTTATACATGATACTTTATACTATTTTAATATTTTATAATATAAATATATTACTATAATCAATATAAATATAAAACATATAATACAATTTTATATTACACTATTATAGTATATAGTATATACTATACTATAACTATTACTATTTATATACATTATACTATATATTATACTATACTATACATTACACTATATATAATATTACAATATTTTATAATGTATTATAAAGTATAATATCACAACGTGCATTTCCCCATGTTCCAAGTTTGCACTAGAATATGCACCTTTTTAGGCAGTTACCAACCTGATGGATATGAACAGACTCATTTTCCCCTGACTTCTAAGAAAATTCATATTTTTTCCTATGGTTCATTTTTTTCTGTGAACTGCTCCTCATATTTTTTTTGCCTATTCTGTAAAGTGCCTATTCATGCTATTTAACAGGGATGTTTTATCTTTTTTTCTCATGGATTCATTAGGAGTTTCTTATATAATCTGGATGCTAAATCTTTGTTAATTATGCTACAAGAGTCTTCTGTCAGTCTGTCAGTATCCTGTCATTCCACTTACTGTGCTTTGTTTTGTTTTTTTAATGTTGTCAATTTAAACTTATCAATTCTCCCCTCCCCCACTTTTTAAAAGATTTTATTTATTTGACAGAGAGAAACACAGTGAGAAGAGGGAACACAAGCAGGCGGAGTGGGAGAGGGAGAAGCAGACTTCCCGCCAAGCAGGGAGCCCGATGCAGGGCTCGATCCCAGGACCCTGGGACCACGACTGGAGCCAAAGGCAGATGCTTAACGACTGAGCCACCCAGGCGCCCCAATCTCCCCCCTTTTTGATACATGTTTTTGTGCCGTGTTTAAAGACCATCTTCTCAACCCTAATGTCATTAGCACGTTTTAAAGGTGTTAAAATTCTGATTCTCTCGTTTAGTCCTTTAATCCATTTGGCACTTACAGTAAAGGATGGAAATTACAGAAAACATCAAGTCAGATTTGTTTTCTCTACAGACAGCCCAATGTACTTAGCCATTTTTGAATTTTATTTTTAAAACCTTATATGGGTAGGATTACCTGGAAGATGGCGGAGAAGTAGGAGACCTAGATTTCGTCTGGTCTCAGGAATTCAGCTGAATAGGGATCAAACCATTCTGAACACCTACGAACTCAACAGGAGATCAAAGAGGAGAGTAGCAACAACTCTCTGAAAAGAGAAGCGACCACTTACTGGAAGGTAGGACGTGCGGAGAAGTGAATCGGAGGCGATATTCGGGAGGATAGACGGCGGGGGAGGGGCCTCCGCCGGCCGCTTCTGGCAAGTGCTAGAGCCGCGGAGCACAAAATCGGACCTTTTAGAAGTCGGCTCCGCTGAGGCTCCAGTGGCTAAGCGGGGGTGGAACCCTCGCGGGACAGTGGGGTCTCAGGACCCTTGGGGTCACAGAAAGACCGGGGGAGACTGAGTGCGCCAGAGCTCCCAGGTATCCGAGCGGGGAAGCCGGCTGCAGAGACGGAGCTGAGGCGCGGGCTCTCAGCTTGGGGTTGCCATAAACTGTGATCCGCGGCCCAGTCGGGGGCTCCTCCAGCAGGGACCCAACAGGCGGCAGATCCGGGGAGACTCCCCTTCCTTCCCGGGGAGGAGCGGCG